GCGGCTGCTTCACGCAGCCGGTCAGTGCTTACGTTGTATTTGCGCAGTTGCCGCATGGCGATATCATGGAGCTGCTGCCCCGGCAGCAAGTTCGCCTATCGCTATCGGACGCCGAACTTGCTAGCCGCCGCGTGCGGGCCAAGGATTTTGAGATACGTCATTGCCCATTGCCAGCCGTGTGGTGCGATGCCTCCCTTTTGCTTCGAAACATCTGCCGATTGCATCTGCAGCGAGTGCGGCCCGTCTGGTGTACGACGGAGCAACACGGGACGCTGGGGTACATGCAGCGTTCCCGCGATCCTCCCCTGGAACCGCAGGACCTGGTGCGTTGCGTCTATAGTATGTTTTAGCTTCTATATAAAGGCGGGCTTCTTATGCTACTATCGCTCATCGGAATTCGACTAGAAGAAATACCGCAAGCGGTTATGGCCGGTGCGCGGCAGTGTTGGAAAGTGTGCCCTAGACGTAGTGACCTTCTACTCGCCCATTTTGCGCCCTTCCAAGTGCGCATCCGGGTATAACCGCAATACGGTTTGTTCCGCAACCCCGCTGAATGGTACTCACTCACAACAATTAACCGCCGCCAGCGGCGGCCGCGGCTGGCCATCCAGCCGCCGCTGGCGCCATTATCCAGCCATTATCCAGCCGCCGCTGAATTCAGCTCACTCTCTTACTCTACGTGTTTTATAATGTTTCTGAATGTGACGTTTAAAACTACAGCTGGTAACCAACCAGTAAAGGTTAACTCCCATGTCTGGAATACTTAACTGTACATGACAACAGCACCATCGGGAAATAAGTACATATGTTAGCATTTAATGCTCACCTGCGTCTGTCCTATTGCCATTACTGTATTCCTTATTTTGGACTGCAATAATGGCAATGGAGCAGACACCTCACGCTCACATGTCCTTACTAAACTTATTTGATGAAAAGGAGACGTAAAATAGTTCTTCCTTTTTTCCGCAGGAAGCCCTGTGCCTGGAAGCGTTGAAGAAGCATAAGGAGGGAGACCTATCGCGTCAATTACTCAGTGCCGTTGGCATGGACTCAGCGAAGAGCGAGCATACGGCCAGCATTAGTTGCGAGGCGAGCTTGCTTTTACCTAGAGAGCTACTGGTGGAGATCTTCCAGTCGCTGGACTCCATCAACCGCTTCCGCTGCCAACGCATCTGTACCCTGTGGAACATTCTTCTCACCACCGAATGCTTCTTCCCCGATATGCGCGTCTCCTGCCGGAGAGAAGACTACCTACCCTCCTTCCCGCCGCCCATGTTCTGGGCGCTGGCTTGTTTATTCCGTTTGTGTGTTTACCGCCGCATGAAACTGATTATTATTACTCAGATGGATTTGGCTGAGTGTGTCGGCATCGCCTATATGATCCGTTACGCAGCCCATGGCAATCGCATTCCAACTCTGGTCTTGCACCAGTGCTGTTGGTCTAGTCCGAGTTCGAAGGCGGGACAATTTGTGGAACATACCGGCGTTATTGCGCGTATTTGCGGCACGGCGGAGCGCGTGGTATGGTATAAATGCCGCATGGTGGAGGCGCTTCTGACGGCCGTCGTCCCGCGGCATTCACAGCATTGCCAACCAGAACAGCAGCTGGAAATGCAGTTGTGGGATCTCTTTGAGAAACACCTCGTTGTGGAGGAACCAGTAGATCGCAGCATCTTGGCACAATGGATTGCTCATTGCGTACAGTATGACTTAATTGGTCGTTTGGCAACGGTAAGCATTTCGAGGCGACTGGGTCAGTTACTAGCATATACAAATACCGCAATTATCGAATTTGCCGCACTGAACGGCAAATCGTTCCAATACCATGGAGCAGGTGCGCCTTTTTTTCAAACAATAAATTTCAGATGCCATTATTTTTCAAACAATAAATGTAAGAAGGGAAATTTAAATTTAAGAAATTTAATTATTTATGTTTCAAAACAACGGCGCATTCTGCTCTACTAAAACTGAGTGCAGTTGTTACCGGGTATATGGCTAGCCAGCAATACGGAATTACACAACTTGAATGCAGATCCCGGTTTCTGTAAGCCAATGCTTGCCTTGCCAGCAGTACAACCGTACGTGCATACTTATTCGTTTACCGCCGTACTATTATATTCGTACTCTTAAAATCCCCCCTTGAACAATTAAGAATTTCTTCGATACATCCATATATATTCTCGTTGCTATATTGTTGTATCGTTCAATCAGTAAAAATGCCTCGTAGTTATGACACGAAGTTTAAGTTGGAGGTTGCCGGTTTATTGGACTTGACATTTCATTACGGCACCGGGTGCCGTAATTTCGGGGGGGGGGGGGGGGGACATTATTTTTCAAATATAATGCGGCGCTGCGCTTATTGCAGGGGTGTGCCACAGATTCGATAATTACGGTACATTGTGTGGGTTACAGGTAATCTGGGATTATGTGGGAGAGGATCCGCGCCCGTCCAACCACTATCGGGATTATCGGTGGACGGCCTCGGCCATCGCGGGTTTAGACGCGAACAAACTGACCCCCCTGGCCGCGGCGGCGCTGCACTACGGCATGAAACAAGCGCATTGGCTGCCGCCATCGCATCATGCATAAAGTGTTCGATTCTCACTTTTATCAGTATTCCAGCTAACTACGAATAGTTGCATTTATCGGCTTCGTGCGCTAACCGATCTGCACACTTATTAACCGCTATGGAAATCATATTTGCAGACTTGCCAGTGCTGGAGCTCTTCATTCTTTTAAAAATTGCAATGGTACTAACGGTTTGAATGTTCAAAACTTTCTTATTAAATGCTTGACGTTTTTATAATGTTTAAAACTTCTTTCTTGCAATAAATGACGTCGATGCGATCATCCTGCGCAGGAAAATTGTCGGTATTACTCGTACTTCATATGTGTCCTAGCTATTGCCGAATAATTTTTGTTCTCAGATTCCCATTGACAGCACTCAGTGTGGCTCTCTAACGCGAAAAATTCTTTGACAACTGCATTTTGCACAGAAGTATTTCTTCTGTAAAACGATATGCCTACTAGGCAGCCGCCTTTTAAAGATTTGTTTTGTTCTCTGCTGCAGTGCATAGTATCTGCCGTTTTGGGTGTTGTAGAAATAGCACAGCTGACGCCGATAACTGCTCATTCCTGTTCCGGTAATTTTTTCAAATGGTGTATCTTTATTTCAATAGCGTGATAACAATATTAAGATCTAATTCCGGTAATTATTTATTCGCAGTGTAAATGTGTAAAATAACTGCGATCGCTGATCACGTATTGTACATGGCGTGTAATAACTGCGCTCACGTATTGCGCATGTGTGCAGTACGTGAGCGTAGTGCTTGCCTTTTTTCTAGAGATTCACTGAAAAAACTCACATCTTCAAGCGGCGGCGTCAAGCGCAGTACAATCTCCAGCTAATTATATATATTATTATTTCTACAATACTTTCAAGTCAGGCCATAATGCACATCAGCTGACTTGGTGCTTGCCCAAATATTCGATCCATTCCTGTGAGCAACCACTCTCGTAAGATGGATTACCCGTCGAGGATGACAGGTATTAGGTTTATACTTAATGTTTGCTCTTCTTTGCTACTCGTACAGACCTTAAAACTACTTCTGCAGGTTGTTCTTCAAAGTACTTTGAAAAGATCAATGCGAGTAATGGAACGAGCGAAATCTATCTCTGACTGCGGCAGAATAGGTGGCCACACTATCCGATTTACTGGTACTGCGTGTTAATGTCCATCTTTTACTGGCATAACCCGGTAAGGCGCAATGCTCATCTACGGAGACGAGGCATGGAATGCTGTGTACGTTCGTGTCGACGGCCAAATGCAGCACGGCAACGTGATCAACTTGGTGGACGGCGGCCTGACGATTGATTTCAGCCTTTTCAGGTGCCGGGCACAACGCTCGCAGTTAGTCGCGTACGGGTGCATCTTTCAATGGAGCGCCGACTAATCCTGGCGACCTTCCCTCGGTACGCCAGTGAACGTATTGTTGCGTCGACAGCCGGACGGTGCATGGAGATGGTACAGCGGCACGATTACTTTTGTGGAGGACGAAAAATCTTTGTACCCAGCTTTCTTCGTGGAAGTGCAGGTGCCGAATGGTACCATCAGAGAGTTGGTACCCTGGTCGCAGGTACGGCCAGCAACGAGAAATTTGGATCCCGCGCTACAGAGCGTGAAGAAGGATGACTTTGTGGTGCACTGCGGGCCTGTGGCAACAAGTTGTCGAACAAGAGCCCAGCAGCGGAATTATGCGCGATAAATTGATCACGCGCCTTCCGCTTGCTCGAGAGGACGCACCGACGCGAAGAATATCAGGCGTTGTGCACCGTCTCGTCCCGTCAAACAGTGCTCTACCTGCAGTGTCGGACCATTAATCCGTACTCATTACCAGCCGGAACCAGTGAAACACAGTCAACTCATACCCGCTTTCAAAGACGACTGCTTGGGGCTAATAACATGTCAAGCAAACCACGCTGTAAAATTCTTCTACCTGAAATTTGGCCCTCCATTATTTTCCTGCAAGAATGAGTGTACTCGCTGATGGTACCATGCGGCAGCTATGGCACCATGCGGCAGTTTACAGTGTTATACTGTAAACTAGCTGTCTGCGATCTCTTTTTTGACATTACAGTAATTTTCACGTTTATAGTTTACATACGTACGTGCGACTTATTGTGCTTCGGCTGTCTCGAAGAAGCGCTATACCGTAAGTACCAGTCCGAAACTGTGGCAACTTATCGTGAGTGTTTTAGAAATAGCGCAGCTAACGCCGGTACATGTGCATTTAATTAAATGCAGTACGCCGGTACTGCACTTAGTTTTTGTCGCACACTGTACACTACATGTGTAATAATAACGATCACGTATTGTGCATGTGTATGAACCTAGCGCTCACAGCGATAATGAAGAGCGCAGGTACTTCAAAAAAACTGACATTATTTTTACCACGACATGGTCTGCTGACTGCTGATACGTTGTTAGCCTCCGGCAGGGCTGCCGTGAAGTTGCCGTGTGTTGAGTGCACCTCCTACTAATGCAATTTCCGTCTAGAAGTGCTATCTTCTCGCGCGACGGCATATTACAGTAGGTGCATGCTGGGCCAAACACACCTGCTCGCGCACTTCGCCACATATGATCTATGCCTTTGAGTGAGGGCTCTCGTTGACCGTTGGGGATAGTATTCGATCACGCAGTGCGCAACCATAATATAATTTTCTTGCCAGAAGTGGATAAGTGTTGCTACTGCCCTTCTGAAAACGGACTACTAACGGATAAGTTGTTGGGTCGATTTATTGCGAACAGAAAACATCCGTCTCTAATAACAATTCTCCCACCTGACTGTTCATCTATTACATGTAAGCCGTGAGCGGTAACGGCAGGTTCATGCTTGTTACGGAGGCAGAGTATCGGCGTGGCACGCCGTAATGGTTCGCGTTGACGGCCGACTACAGCATGGGAGCGTCATCAACGTGGCGGAGGGGGGTCTGATTATTGACTTCGACTGTCCCGGACAACGTTTGCAGTTCGTCGTGTACGAGCACATTTTTCAGGAGATGTACGAGCACGTTTTCCAGCGGAGCGATGGCAGGTTTACCGCACTCTATGAGGCTGGAGCGCCGGTGTTCGTTTTGCTACGTCGGCAGCTCGATAAGGCATGGACATGGTATGTGGGCACGACCGTCTCCCTGCTGGGTAACGGCAACTTTCCGGAAGCGGCACTCGTGGAAGTGCAGCGCCCACACATAACGGTCAGGGAGCTGGTTCCAGGGCAGCAAATATCCCGACCCTACACGGAGAAGAATGTTCACTTCGTGCGAGTGAAAGCAGGTGATTTTATGATCCGATGTTGTCCGGTGTCGGCCGCCCACTGGACCATCGGGAAGACGTTCCAGCGCGTGCTGTGCCAGGAGTACTCTTCGCTGTGTACATCCGTGCTCCCGCAAACGTTTTTTTACTTGCAACCTAACCACGGGATTCCCTTAACAGCGGAGCACATAGTAAATATTATTTATTTGATGTGAAAATGCATAGATAGAATATTTTAACTGGCAACGCAAAGCTACTAAATGAGCACAAACAAAACGTCCGATAGCAATAACATTGACAGTCTCGCGTGTCGCTGCAGCACTCAGCATACGACACGGCGACGAGCAGGATGAAAAGAGGCTGGGCTCCACCGACGTATTCCTGGACAGGCTGCCGCGAACCGCTTAGTCCGCTCAACAACAAGCCGACCTTTGACGTCACGCATTCCAGCAGCCTACCGTTGCCAGCGGAGCTGTTGCTGGGGATCTTCCAATCGCTGGACTCCATCGAGCGCACCCGCAGTCGGCGTGTTCATCCCGTATGAAACAGTCTCCTCACCACGGAAGCCAATTTCCCCGACTTGCGCCTGACCGGTCGCGATGGATTCTATGACGGTGACATCACTGACAGGTACTGCTCCGTCAAAGGTTCGTTCTGGGTGGTTTGCGGATGGCTGAAATGTCGCAGCCGTTACACCAAAGTGGTGGTTATCACAAGTCTGAGTATGGCCGGATGTCGACAATTAGCCGCAATGAGTACTGAGAGCGAGAATATTTACCGCGTATCGCTGCTGGTGCTTCGCGACTGCGATTTTCGTCTGTGGCATCAACGTGTCAATGGTATCATAAGCCGGCTGGCTAGCCTACCCGACGAGTTTGCGCCGTGCGACCGAATTGTGTTGCAACAGTGCCGCATCGAGGATGACGGTCTAAAGGCTCTGGTACCGCAGCTTCACTGCTGGCAGTTCCCATCAAGGCGAGGTTTGGAGATGCAGCTGTGGGATCTTGTTGAAAACAGTATGACTCTCAGGGACCCGGATAAGCGGCCTTCCGTTTTGAAATGGATTGGCGACTTCAAGGCGGCGTTACTATAGTCTCGAGATGATGATGATTAAGGCGAGTCGTTAAACTGGATTTCACTGTGCAGATAGGGCAAGAAGTCTATGAAACCAATGACTTTCGTAAGCCCGATGTGGATGCCCGGAATATTTCTCAGATTCCTTAGATTATCATCCTGAATTGTTGTGTTTCTTAATTTTCTTAGTCGTCGCCCTTGTGACGTTCGACGAATGTTAGTCGGCATAATGTTAGCGTAAAACAGCAACTTCAACTCATTATTTTAAAAGCTGAAGCTAAGACTGGAAGAGACAGAACGAGGATTCAAACAGAACACGGATGGATGTCCATTTGGTTGCCACTACATAATGGTATTGGTGGTTACCAAAATGGCGCTCATTTTTGATGGCTGGGATACATTCAAGATATAGTCGACAGCATGTTTCAGGACAAGGGAAACGATAACGCAGATGGATCAATAAACCCAGTCCCGTATAAAAACATTTGACGGCCAGATTTTGGGATCTAAAATTTTACTAGCCTTCTTGCTAAATGGGAACGATACAATCCAAAACCGAAGTCATCCTCTACCGAAGCGGCTGACTCATACGATTCCTGAGTAAAAACTGAACATTCCTGCGGCTACCGCTATCGGTGTCCGGTGTGTGATTCTGTAGTTACAATAAGGCCACGGAGAGCGCATCGCTTCTAACGAGCGTACCTTCTAAGCCCAGAGTAAGATACCAAATTTTTAATAGACAAAATACAGACGCGGGCACACTATTTCACAATCAAAACGTATCCATTGCAGAAACAAACAAAATCTCTATCCTCCCGTGAGTTACAAGGTAACGTACTTAACGCAGCCGTAGCGCTTTCCTTAATCACAGCCAAACTGAAAGTAGTAGCAGTAGAACGCCCTTTGAAGAACCAGTGAATGCATGAATTTTTCGGTCCATAAAATGCAAAAGTTCGCATAAGCCGGGCCGAAAGCATCAAACTTTTTCAACCATTAAAGGATAAAAGAAGTATCGATATTTCTACGAGGTGTAGTTCTTCCGGTGCGTCGCGTTTTCGGCTAGGTGAGCTACCTTGCCGGCGAACTTCGAACTCCCGTGAACACGAGAATCGGTAAAATACAGTACATGAGCCAATAAAAACACTATTTACGTCAATTTACATTTACAAGTTAGTACCCACTACCAAGTACCAACAAAAAACGTCTCAGACGGGGCATAAATGACATATGTACCGATGCGGGCGGTATATACCGCCCGCAGCGAGGGCTGTCTACGTTGATCGGTACATATTGTTAGGAAAAACTGCTACACTTGGTTACGATTTATCACGCGGAATATGAAATAAATTGATGTAAATCTGAATTTCCGATCTTCTGGATATCGAACAGCGTACATGTTGAAATAAAATAGACGAGGCGTTTACAGATTTCTCCCACTATCGCGTTCTGTGCTTGAAGTTTTGAACGTTGTGTATTCAGCATCAGAAACATATGAGTTTTTCTTCGGATGTGGTTTAGCTCACGCGAACCACCATCTCAGACCGAGTCCGACGGTATCGAAAACCAGGACCAACGCGAAGCCATGCATATTTACGGCCACGAGGATGGTGCTGTGTACGCCTGGAACTCCGTGGACGTCCTCGTCGACGGTGTTCTGCAGCACGGCCGAGTGATCAACGCGGCGAAGACGGGCTTGGTCGTGGATTTCGAATGTCGCATCCAGCGCGTCCAGTTCATCGAATACGGACGCGCCTTCCACATGATCAAGCCACCGTATGATTTAGATGCACGTCGGGACCGTGATGTCCAGGTCCTTCTGCGCGCGGATCCCGAGGGTCCGTGGAGGTGGTTCCGGGGTGCCATGGTTCCCGGCGGAGACCTTAGCTCCCGCGTCAATGCGTACATCGTGGAAGCGGAGATGCCACACGGTACCATCAAGGAACTGCTTCCCCGCCAACAAGTGCGTCGACCGCCCTCGGACGACCAACTTGCCCAGGTGTGGCCCAAGGAATTCGTGATGCGGGAGTGCGAACTGCCAGCCGTGTGGTCCGGCATGTCGCGTATGCGGCTGAAAAAAGCTTGTGGGTTGTATTTGCCGCGACTGCGCGACGTCTGGTGTGCGAGAGTACGTAAGTGGACGCTGCTGTACGTGCAGCGCTCGCGGGCCCTCCGCTCCAACCGGAGGAAGTGGTACGTGGTTTATGTTTGGCGTTACGCCTTAAACTGTCTACAGGGGATGAATCCCTAGAGCGCGTAACCTTGGAAAATACTTTGAAAAATTACCTTGAAAAATTAAAATGATAAATAATTTATTTCAAAATTAATCAAAAAGATTTTTGCAGTTGTCTGGCAAGCAAGCTCCACGAAATGAAGTTTAGCTGCTGTACTTCGTAGTTACATAGCAATTTGGCTTGTATCTACGCGTTTGTGTAGGTATAAGCTAAATAAAACGAATAAATATTAAACATTGAATAAACATCCAAATCCTTAACGTCAGTCATGATCACAGAAGAGCACGTTCAGGGCACTCAATAATAGTACTACGAGCAGTAATCATAACACCATCATATGTTGCACGACTGAGTACGACTGCTGTAATGTTTGCCGACGAGGCCCTGCCAAATAGGAACTGGCCGCTGATTTGCAGGAGGCCGTGTACAGGGAGGCGGAGAAGGGACTGAACGGGAAGAAGCCATCCAGACAGCTGGGCATGCAACCGAGCGTAGTCAGCACCAATTCCAGAGTGAAACGGCCTTGGCCTAGTGAGCTGCTGGTGGAAATCTTCCAGTCGCTGAACTCCATCGACCGCACTCGTTGCCGGCGTGTCTGTGCCCTGTGGAACCGCCTTCTCACCACCGAAGCCTACTTCCCGGATGTGCGCGTCTCCTGTCGCACCGACAACTATCCATTGTCCTGGACAAATCCCCTGTTTTGGAGGCTGGCTGGTCTGTTGCACTGCGTTAACCGGCACACGAAGATGATCGTTCTTATGCACATGAATCTAGGCGACAGTGAGCACCCCGGGGTTGTGATTCGCTGCACGGTCGGCCGTATCCCGACGCTGGTGTTGTATCAGTGTGTCTGGCCCCACTCGAGTTTTCATCTGGAGAAAACCTTGTACTGTCACGGCAGTATCATGCGAATCTGTGGCATGGCGGATCGCGCGGTGTGGTCGAAGTGCCGGATCGAAGAACCGCTTCTGACTGCCGTCGTGTCGCGGCATTCGCACTGCTGTCAACCACCGGAGCAGTTGGAATGGCATTTGTGGGATCTCTTTGAGCAGCATATTGTGTTGGACGAACCGGTCGATCGGAGTATCTTGTCGGAATGGATTAGGCAATGCGTTGAGCATGGTTTATTTGAAAAGCTGGAATTGGTAAGAAAATTTATGTCCGCGTGTTTTTTAACGATTTACCGACACTACAACACACATCTTGTCGACTGCGGCGAAAATATGGCTTAAAAAACCCTAAGAAAACTACAAAATCTAAGAAACCCTAAGAATGTGAGATGGTTCAGCAAAACTCGAGCTCGAATTAGCGATGGATCGATATCCTGTCTGTTCGACTTAGGTTTACGATAACGAATTGCCGGCCGTATAATATACGGCCGGCAACTACCGTTTTGGACTAGTCGCTGGTGTAAAATGTACGACCTTATAAAAGCTGATGCTATGTTTTAACGCCTTCCGCACCAACAGACGCTCTGTCCATACGCAGTGCGGGCGGTTCATGCTCATTGGCTGTTTTCCTGTTGCACTTGTCGATTTATTAAGAAATTTTCCGTGAACCTACTGACCGGTTTCCACTGTTTGCAATTGCACAGTGACTGCTGTGATTGCAGGCTCTTTACGATTACCAGAACGCCGATCCCCGTCCATCGAGCCAGAACGGCTCTCGTCGATGGACAGCCTCAGACATGGAGGATTTGGATGTGAACAAACTGACACCACTGGCCGCCGCGGCTTTATTCTGCCTCTTGGAAAAGGAGCCGCCGCTCCCACGTAATCGCAAAGCAGACTCTGCTTTATCCGGCATTCTCGTTAACTCGGACAATGGGGTATTTGCTTTTGTACTCAGTAACAATTTGTAGTAGTTTCTGCATAACAGGTTTAATTAGCGGCATTGGAAAACTGATTTTTATTCCAGTCGTATGTTGTACAATTCTCTTGAGTACTTGTACATTTGCTGCTGCTTTCGGTATTTACACCCCGTTCACGCCAAGTCCGACCTGCTGCGTTTTGATTTTTTTCTAAGTGTGTGCACTATTTATCCTGAATCATTTTCTTGTTTTTGGTAGAACTTCTTCTTGCGCATCTTATGAGTATAAAAGCTTCAGTTTTTCTGCAACGATGCGCCGAGAAACGACGCCCGAAGCAAAGCATCGATCGAGCTGAGCGTGGCACCCATCCCAAAAATTTTAATTTAATAAGAAATTAAGGAACGACTTCCGGCGCTTGAAGCTGAAGTCAGTTTGTAGCCAATCCGAAGGGTGCTTCATGGAAAAAATCGTGATTGCCAAAAGCTGACCAAACCTTCAAAACGCGTTGGCGAACAAAACCTTCGATCGTCCCAAACCAAGCGCTGATCGAAAGAAGTGATGGTGGCCAGTGAGATTGCTTTTGTATGAAATGTTGCGCGCTTCCATAGCAGACACTGGTACAAATGTTGAAGCCCAGAGCTTTGTGGATCGTATTTTGTCGGGCATAGTCAACGGAAACGTCTCACGGTTGTACGGTGACCTTTCGAAGGTTGTCGCTCACGAATTTGCCCACGCCCAAAGTTATACCTCTCCCCTAACCTTGGAGTGGCTTCGAATCACCGGTGTGAAGTGCGTCCCGAAGGGCCACTGTATAGCTAACTGAGCGCATTTAGTGCCGTTGGACTAAGGCATAAATGGGAATTTTAAATGAATTTCAAGTAGAGCGAAGACAACCACGGAGGAAATCAGGGCATGGCTGAGCGATGCTTTTTAAAAATTTAGTGCTTGATGTAATTACATGTACACTACGATAAACACTCGGATCCCCAAAGCTACAATAATCATCAGCACTGCAATCCAAAACGGTGATTTTAAAAAGTTTTCCTGGAAGTTCTGCCGCACGGAGGATTTCCCGGGTTTCTCAATGTCATCGTCTCGTGGTTTTTGTGCCCGGCTGCGTGATTATGATTCTACAGACTTTATAATTCGCTCCAGGACGGGAAAGACTTCCCTGTACATCGTTTTCTGCTGATGCCGTATTGGCCGGTCTTCGCTGTCATGTTAACTCACGATTTCAAAGAAAAGCAGCAGGTGCTGTGTGAAGTAGAGGACACCGACGGGGAAGCAATTGCAGTTTTGCTCGACTACCTCTACGGATGTGTTATGACCAAGATCAATCCTAACAATGCGGAGAAGGTGTTGATTATGGCGAATAAGTATGAATCTATGATGTGGTGGATCTGCGCTCCTTCAGCGAACAAATGCTGCTCAGCGGGCAGAATGCTGGTACAGTGGAACCTCCCGACCTTGAACACCCTCGGTACGCAGTTTCTTGTTCAGGGTTCAGAGGTGTTCATGGTTCAGAGGTACTGCCCCCAGGGGCGGAGATTTTCTTAAGGGGGCCCCTGACTTCGTATAATTTATATATAGCTAGTTAAAAAGCTTAATTTATGATTTGTATCGTGTTGGGCAAGATAAAAGTTTAACATGGGAATTACAATTCAAAAAATTAAAATTTTAATATTCAATTTTACAATTCAAAAATTAAAATTTTAATATTCGTCGGCCGAAAAATTATCGAGAATAGATTTTTTTCATCAGAATGAGCAGCGGTGAACTTGTCTGGGACGCATTTCTTACCTTGATGTTCATTTAAAAACTAGAAATTTGATCACGAAATAAAAACACTGAACGGCAGACGAGTGGTTACGAATGCTCTAAGTGAACACCTTGAACGCTTGATCTTCTCGGATGTTTTGGTGAACCGCTCTGTTCATGTCTGGAGGTCTAATTCAATAAGAAAATATTCTGCGGTACACAGCCGAGTGTTCACGGTTCAGAGTTCAGAGGTGTTCAGGGTTCAGAGGTCCCCCCTAATGCTATACATTACGAGAAGCGCCGGTACGAAAAAAGTTGTTCAAGATTCAGAGGTGTTCAGCGTTCGGGGGTGTTCAGAGTAGGAGGTTCCACTGTAGGTATCTCGCCTTCGCGGAGCAACGGCAGCTGGATAGACTGAGAAGGGAAGCTCAGTATCTCCTTAATACGAACCTTCCTCCGCTATACACGAACCGTCCTCCACCGCGCAGCCGGGCACAAAAACCACGAGACGATGACATTGAGAAACCCGGGAAATCCTCCGTGCGGCAGAACTTCCAGGAAAACTTTTTAAAATCACCGTTTTGGATTGCAGTGCTGATGATTATTGTAGCTTTGGGGATCCGAGTGTTTATCGTAGTGTACATGTAATTACATCAAGCACTAAATTTTTAAAAAGCATCGCTCAGCCATGCCCTGATTTCCTCCGTGGTTGTCTTCGCTCTACTTGAAATTCATTTAAAATTCCCATTTATGCCTTAGTCCAACGGCACTAAATGCGCTCAGTTAGCTATACAGTGGCCCTTCGGGACGCACTTCACACCGGTGATTCGAAGCCACTCCAAGGTTAGGGGAGAGGTATAACTTTGGGCGTGGGCAAATTCGTGAGCGACAACCTTCGAAAGGTCACCGTACAACCGTGAGACGTTTCCGTTGACTATGCCCGACAAAATACGATCCACAAAGCTCTGGGCTTCAACATTTGTACCAGTGTCTGCTATGGAAGCGCGCAACATTTCATACAAAAGCAATCTCACTGGCCACCATCACTTCTTTCGATCAGCGCTTGGTTTGGGACGATCGAAGGTTTTGTTCGCCAACGCGTTTTGAAGGTTTGGTCAGCTTTTGGCAATCACGATTTTTTTCCATGAAGCACCCTTCGGATTGGCCACAAACTGACTTCAGCTTCAAGCGCCGGAAGTCGTTCCTTAATTTCTTATTAAATTAAAATTTTTGGGATGGGTGCCACGCTCAGCTCGATCGATGCTTTTGCTTCGGGCGTCGTTTCTCGGCGCATCGTTGCAGAAAAACTGAAGCTTTTATACTCATAAGATGCGCAAGAAGAAGTTCTACCAAAAACAAGAAAATGATTCAGGATAAATAGTGCACACACTTAGAAAAAAATCAAAACGCAGCAGGTCGGACTTGGCGTGAACGGGGTGTAAATACCGAAAGCAGCAGCAAATGTACAAGTACTCAAGAGAATTGTACAACATACGACTGGAATAAAAATCAGTTTTCCAATGCCGCTAATTAAACCTGTTATCCAAAAACTACTACAAATTGTTACTGAGTACAAAAGCAAATATGTGAAATATCCCATCATCCGAGTTAACGAGAATGCCGGATACAAGCCTGCATAGCTTAACGGAATCAAAAAGAATAATTACGACTGACGATACTGCTTCAACCAGCGCGCTTCCTTCAGCCCCTCAAACAGGGCCGCTGCGGTGATTATGGTCAGTTTTGTTCGCATCCACATCGCGGATGTGGGACGATATCCACTGATGGCCACGATAATGCGTTGAGCTGCGTGGATCCTCGGTCTGGTAGTAGTACAGCGACTAAAAATCGCAAAAACCAAAGGAAATTAATTAGGGATAGGTAATCAAGAATATAACACATCCATAAACATTTCTTCGAGGTTTTTTGAATTCCGGACACTTTCACAATAAGTGAGAAAATTGAATTACCTATATGCGCGCGCTGCTCCCAAAAGACTTGATAATTTTTTATGAATCTCATATATATGCTTGTGTACAGACATCGATGACCACCTCATCGGTTTTAGAAAAAGAAAATCGCGGAGAATTCCATGTCTGTGTTGTTCGGAATGCAAATATTTATTGTGTAAGCAACGGGAATTCGGAAAAATCAAAGAATGCCGAAAACAGAACGAATTACTAGCACCTACATGCCACAGCTGGTCCGATTAATTATGCTGAACCGAGAGGGCAATTCATTCGGGCACGAGCGCCCGATCTACCGGTTCCTTCACAACCAGATGCTTTTCGAACATATCCCGCAGCTGCTCTAAAAGCCTCTCGTCGGGTAGACAGACGATCGAGTGCTGCGGCACGACGGCAGTCAGGCGCCGCTCCCCGATGTGACACTGTTTCCACACCGCGCGCTCCGCGGTGCCGCACACCCGCCGCAGACATTCCATGATGGTCCCCAAAGAACTGGACCAGGCATTGCCAATCCACGAACACCGGTTAAACACCAGCGTCTGGATGCGGCCGGCGCTGTAGCGAATCAACGTGTCAGCCTGGTCGCATTCGCTCATCTCCATGTTAGCTAGAACGATCCACTTCGCGCGACCACTGACGCAGTGAAGTAGGCAGTTGAGGGCCCAGAATAACGGCGGCATACGGGACGACGGAGAGTCCTCTTTTCGCCCGGAGACCCGCACATCGGGCAAGTTGGCGTCCGTGGTGAGGACCGTATTCCACAGGGCGCAGACGCGGCGACAACGGATGCGGTTGATGCTATCCATGGACTGGAAGACTTCCCTTAACAGCTCGCTGGGCAAGAACTGGAATAGCTGACAGCTGGCCTTGGCTTGACGGTGTCTGTCTTGTCCCTTAACTGTAATCTGGGTCGAAAAGATCAAGTTTTCTGGGATGTCGCCGTTTTTCTTCATTCGATTGTACAACTCTTCCTGCAAAACGTAATCAGTTATGTTTTCTCGGCCGAATACCTTTTTTATTCACGGCATTCCAAGATACCTAACCGTCGAAAATAAAGCGTACAACATGCGCGCACGGCACGTATTATGACGTATGCACGCTTTATTTATTTATTCTGTACTGGTACTTAATTAGACTCTACACGCAATCAGGTCGGTGTAAAGTTTACACCGACAGGACCTTAAGGTTTACACTGTAAACCTTAAGGCTTTAAATTGCTCTATAAGTTAAAGTGCAATCCTGCTTTAAAAAAAAAGCAGCCAACAAATTCGAAATTTTCACGTGATCTTTCAAGTAAAGGAACTCAGTGGGTTCCTTTAAAATACAGAACATCCACAACTTAGCACGCGGCCACAAAAAAACAAAATTCGTTTCAAGTTATAGTATAATGAGCGCTGCTATGGTACATACTACAATAATCGCCTGATATTTATAAAACCCACCAGCTCTTCAGGCTGCAGCGGACGGTCAACACCATGCTGCAAGTACAACAGCCTATCGCCGAGCACCGCCGTGCACAAAACTCTCCGCGTTCGAGGAAGCCTGATGGGGTGAATCTCGAAGGGTGGCTGAAATCCGCCTGAGTATGTCGCCGGCAAGGAACATTCACGGATAACAAAGCCTCCGTCCCGCACGCTCAACAGTGCCAAATCGGATTCCGAAAGCGGTCGGCGCCCCTGATTCATGGGTAGGAGCTCCTTGACGATGCCGTGGGGCAACTGCACCTCCACGACGACCAGACCTGCCAAATAGCCTTCACTGTCAGTGCCAAGGGACAGCGCCTTCCCGGAATACCATGCCCAGGGACAATCGCGGCCAGCGCGCAGGAGGACCTGCACACCAGGATTCACATGCGCGCCTCCAGAAGTCAAGAGTCTCTGCGATTGGAAGACGGTATGGTATTCGACGAACTGGGAGCGCTGTCCAGCACAGCCGAAATCAACGATCAGACCCTTCTCTGCTAAGTTGACTACTTTGCCCAGCTGCATCACACCGTCCACGAGGACCTCCACGGCGTTCCACGCGTAGAGCGACCGCCAGCGCTCCGCCTCATTGTAAACAAACATCGTGATCGTATAATGTGTATAATGGCTTGTCAGGCTCTCCGGTAGAGATTGCTGTGAGCTTTTGGGGTAACGCTAATTTTAAGCGACCTTACAAACGAAACGCCTGATTACTTCAAAAGTTTTTAAACAGAATACTGAACACAACTGTTTTCCAAAAAGCGTACCGAGAGTAAACACTGAAAGCAGTTTAAACCTGATGCATGATGCATCGTTGTCATGACAACGATTAGCAGCTTCATAAGTTGATGGTTCAGAATCAAAATTTGTTTTGTACCGACGCGCCGCCCTGGGGCGGTTGAGACACTCTACTGAGTCACTGACCAGTGATACCAGCATAGGTGCAATACTGTATTCTCAAAAATTGAAACTTAGATCACTGAGTAGGATAAAATCTGTACTATTTTAATAAATTTTTTTTATTAAACAAAACAACGTTTTCCACGGTACCAATAACAGAAGCGGCATAAAGCGGCATGCGTAGTTTCCCCGCTGCGGTGATAAAACTTGCTGAATATCGACATTTGACAGTTACCCGTATCGAAGTAACTACAGCCTACACATAGTGAACTGTTTTTGGTTTTCTAGATGCTGGAATATCAGACAATTAATTTTACTTTTAATACGATTAGTATAGTAAACAATCAAATAGTAAGTTAAGTACGCTTAATATACGTATATATATGCGCTTTATTAATGTACGCATTAGTTAAATATGCTCGTTGTCTGTAATTAGCATAGTGTCAGATACGTCTCATACCTTACCATTAGGACGTTGTCGAAGTTTTCAGTGCTTCTTAGCGCATTTTGTTTAGCATCAGAAACAAGAGACAAGGGAAAAGAAATTACTAGTGCAAAAACCTACAAGCTATAGGCGCTAATTCTGAACCGCTGGGATACGTTCAGGACATCTGCGCTGCTAGCCGCCAAGCATGCTGCCGGTGGCAATTTAGCCGTATGTGCGTGGTGGCGCGTGCCAGCCGGACGCCGGTAACCGAGCGTTTACTGTATACTGTAACAACAGCCTATCTGGCTGCTGTTCTAGTGGGGTGGCGATCAGCCTTTACCACGATTATGCGGCTGTTAGGACGAAAGGTGGCACAGCCGGCAACGATGCTGGCCGAGGACGCTCTTACTGATGTAACACAATTACACAGGTGGCTCCGATTGGGATGACACAGGTTCATCCCAAGCGGTCAAAACGCAACAACGTAACTCAAGGCATGTTTAATGACAAGGGCGTTCAAGAAATGGAGCAAGGTTTAGGGCAAGAGTTTAGGACAAGGTTGATCAAGTAGATGCAAGCTGTAGCAAGCTGAGTAAAAGATTGAATTCTAGAAATTCATGAGAAAGGAAACTAGCCGGTAAAGTGGACAATTCGTAACGAGATGGAAGATGAATCATTACGGAGTGGTATTATCGTTCGTACAAATACTATCCCTACAGTACTGTTTACTGCAGTCTGTAATGGCTTTTAGAAAGTTAGAAACTGACGCGACCCAAACAAAAGAATCTGCAGGAACCACATATTTGTCTACTAATAAAATCAATAAAATAACCTACCGGTACGTCTGAAATCTTATCAAACTTGTTAACCGGCCGCTGAAGAGCCAATCAGTTAGGGTAGGCCTTCGCTAAAACTAAAAGTAATTCCATGGAGGGTAGTAAAAAAAACTCAATTCATCGGTTTATTCCAGTTACACTAAGCCCGTAGGGCATCGTTCGTCTTTAGCTGCAAGGCCCAAAATGACAACGCGAATCAGCAGAACCCCGACGCATAGGCGCCTACCACTGCTTGTCCTTCATGGCACAGCGGAGAGCCGCCGCGGCCAGCGGCGTCAGTTGGGCCACCTGCAGACCCGCGACGGTGGGCGCCGTCCACCAGCAGTGACGATAGGGGTTGGAAGGGCGCGGATCCGTTTGCAGATAGGTGTAGAGCATCTACGAGACGACATAACATCCATGACCCATCTGTAGAGTACGGTTCATGTGTATATTCCCCCCAGGTCACATTTTCTTTCTTACACCTTGTTGCGCCTAAGTGACAGGCCTGACAACTTGCCATTGCTCCGATCACAGCAACAGACCTGCTCGATGCTCGGCTATGAATTTTTATCGATCTGCAGAGTATTTTTGAATTTTATTTATTATGCTTAATATCTGTGTAGCAATGCAGCATTAACATTATGTACGAGTATACAAATTTCTCCCGAAATTTGTAACATAAAGGTTCTGTACAGGTAGCACGTATTTAACGCGAAAGTTATAGATTCTGTATTTTCGACTGTACTGGCGTAACCAGTGACTTTGGTACTTTCTGCTGTGTTAATGCGATAGAAATTATGGCATGTGCTTGCACAAACTACACGAAATGACGACTTACCGTCGTAAGATATCTGAACCCACCATGCTGGACGCACTGCGCAATCCATTCCGCCAAAACAGTTCGATCCACTGGTTCCTCCAGGACGAGATGCTTCTCAAAAACATCCCACAGTTCCATCTCCAACTGCTCCCGCTGGCAACTATGCGCATACTGCGGAATAATAGCCGTCAGGCGGGGTTCCTCAATCCGGCAGTGCGACCACACCACGCGCTGCGCAGTACCGCACACTCGCATGACAGTCCCGCGACGCCACAGGATTTCCCCCACCGCAAAGCTCGGATAGGACCAGGCACACTGCTTAAACACCAGCGTTCCAATGCCCCCGATTTTGTGGCGGATCATCTGGGTTGCGCAGTCGCACTGCCCGACGTTCATGCGCGTGAGGATGAGGGTCTTTGTGCGACTATTAACGCAGTGGAACATTGTGGCTAGTAACCAGAAGCCGGGCGTGGTCCAGGATGCCGGGTAGTCCGCTGGGCGGCCGGAGACGTGCACATCGGAGAAGTAGGTTTCCGTTGTGAGGATGGCGTTCCACAAGGCGGAGACGCGGCGATAGCGGAAGCGGTTGATGGAGTCGAGAGACTGGAAGATCTCCACCATTAATTCACTGGGAAGATGCAGCGCCGCTTCGCAGGTCTCGCTGGATGTCCGCTGTCGCTTCGCGGGCGGTTCGGCAACCGCACTGGTTAGCTGACGTGGGATTTCATTTTGTTGCTCCTTCCACGCCTCCATGCAGACGGCTTCCTGCAAAATTGAGTTATTTTTGGTTTGATGTTATTGGATAAAAATTATTCGTCTGGAGATCATCGAACCAAAAAAAAAAAACATTTTCAAACTAAAAATCAACCCCTTCATTACTCATTTTTTACAACGTAATTAACCGAAGAAACGGTTCCAGTGAATTAAAAATTATCAAGTACTCAGTAAACAGTAAGCTGTGCTTGACACGCTAACAGAAAAAAAACGCGAAGAAAATCGGTTCTAGAGCAAATAAATTCAAGCCTGGCTACTTAAAAATACGTCACCCATTCACCTTAACACTAACACCGGTAGCTACTTGAAGGTCTTTACGAAGAGCGAGAGAAATAAAAAGCTACAACAAAAGAAAGTTCATCTTGAAAAACGGTCTACGCACCAGATCATAGGGCTGCAACGGACGCTCCCGGGCCCGCTGCATGTAGCGCAGCGTGCCTTGGCTAACGCTCCCAAACCAGACGGGATGCCTTCGCTGCAGGAGCAATCGGACGCAATTTCCAAACACAAGCGGCCTGGACCAAGCCGCTGGCAACGCACACTCCCGCATCTGGAATTCTTCCGCCCCCACGCGGCGTCTGACAAGCTCCGCGCCCGAGGGCGGTAGCCGCACTTGTTGGCGAGGCACCAGCTCCGTCAAGGATCCGTACGGCAGCCGCACTTCCACGATGCACGCATCGGCACAGCAGTTCAGAGAGTTCCCGGGGTCCATGGTACCCGCGAACCAGGTCCACGGGCTGTTCGCGGTGGCGCGCAGAAGCACTTCCACACTGCGGTCCTGACGGGCATCCACATTGTAATCCGGTTTGACGGAGTGGAAGATGTGTCCGTGGTCGATCAACTGCGCCTGTTGGGATTCGCACCCGAAATCGATTATCAGTCCCTTCTTCGCTACGTCGATAACGCGGCCGTGCTGCAGCAATCCGTCAACGAGAACGTCCACGGCGTTCCACGCATGCAAGGCCTTATCGTCCACACCGTAAATGTGCATGATGCCGTTGGCGCTGGCTCAGGTTGGATCAGTTCTCTACCGTCAGGCGTACAGGTACGAAAATCCAGTAGAAACCACGCTGCCAACTGAATAGAGCGCGATAGAGAGAGACACTGTTATTTTCTGCATGCAGACTAACCTCGCGTACGTTTCACAAAATTTCACATTATGTATGGCCAACTCTGCGCAAGGATCAGAAAAACAAGTTTCTACCAATGACTAGGTACCATTAACAACAAAAAAATCATTCGTTTAACAAGTTGCCAAAGAATGTGACAAATCTGCAGGTGTTGATGACTGCCATTGCTCAGATTCAGACATTCGGGTAACTTCCAACGCCTGTGTAGGTTTTTTGTGCATTTTGCGCAGTAGAAACGACTGGTAACGTGTGTCATCACGATCCGGGGTTTATCTACGCTCTGAATGGTCAAAACAACTATACCGCACGTATTCGAGATACCGCGCTGCACAGCTCCGTTTTTTAATATACCCGTTCTTATTTCTAAGAATCATAACTTATGCGCTGCACTGACTGTACACCAGCCAACAGAGAAAGATGTCTGACTTTTCGTATTGACTGGCATGAAGTTCTGATCGAGATACCTGTGCAAGTTACGTGCTGAAGTGCTAGGCTGCCGCCCATAGCGACGACTACCTTGGAGAAAGCGGTAATATTCGAATTATATTCCTTAAATTTAATTTCCTTCCCATTAAAAATTGTCTTTGCTTTACGACTACAGATTCCTTTCAAAACTTTTTTTATTTCTGTGAATCATTTTGAAGAGTACTGTCCCATCGCGAGGTAGCGGTACCTATTCGACGCGCACAATGTTTGTTTACACCGAGCACGAACAGTACACATGGAACACAGTGGAGGTCTTCGTTGACGGCCTGCTGCAGCTGGGCAAAGTCATCAACGTGGCGGAGAACGGCCTGATCATCGATTTCGGTTGCACTGGCCTGCACTCGGAATTTGTTGAATACGGTCGCGTCTTTCATTCGGGTGTGCTGTGGACGTGGTGGGCAGCCATGGATCGTTTGGTCCGTGGCTTGAAGGGGATCGATTTGGATGTAAACAAGGACCCCACTGTGCAGGTCCTCCTGCGAGCTGGCCCTGATTGCCCTTGGATATGGTACCCCGGGAGGGCATGGTCCCTTGGAAAGGAACCCCCTTTTGCCAATGCCTTCATCGTGGAGGCGCAGCTGCCGTACGGCGCTGTCAAAGTTCTGTTGCCCACGGAACAGGTGCGCCGGCCGCCCACCGACGCCGAACTCTCTCGGCATCGGGCCCATTTTGTTATCCGCAGCTGTCCTTTGCCGCCCTGCGCAACCGGGCTTCCAGTGCCCTTCGAGATTTTGACGGCAACGCTGTTTCAGGAGCGAGAAGTACTTTGCATCAAAGTGCTCAATGAGACCCTGCAGTACCTGCAGCTTGGCTTCCACACTGCGTTGCAACCGGATAAATTGGTGCGATTCTTGATTCACCGAATTTTGAATTTTCTGATTCTATCGACAAAAGTACGGCATTTCTCAGCAACCGGATACTCGTACTTTAAATATATTATAAACCAACCGTCTCAGTCTCCATTTTAGTGGGGAGGGGGGGAGCTCGAGGGGTTATTCCCCGCGGCCGGTAACTTGGGCGTCAAAAAATTAGCAAAGTGGATGGTACATTGCGAAATTTTTTAAGGCGCGATTCAAGTATTACGTAACGCAGTTTTTCGTGTTTTTAACAACCCCCTACCCCTTGTAAGTTGTAACAGCAGGATAGCAAAATTTTCAACCCCCCCAGCCGAATACGTAATGGAAAGCCCGACCACCCCCCATAAAACTGAAATTAAAATGTATTATTTATTTTCGATTTTTTATGGGGTGTCGGCCCGCACGTAACAAAAATTTTTGGACCCCCTACCCCATGTAGCACAGTGTAACAAAAAGCCGACACCACCCCCTACCCCTCGAGCATTACGTAATACTTGAAGGCCCCCTTAAAGTCAGCCGAAAAATCGAGAGAATACCGCCCGCTTTGGTGGTAGTTCTCCGGCCTCCCTCCGAAATCAGTCTAGATTAGCTACTGAGGACCACTGACCAGCAACCATAGGTCATTTGACCTAACATATAACAGATGATCGCGGTTGAAATAACATGTACTAAGGAAGTCAATTAATTTAATTTTTCTCTTAAAACAGCTTTGCGGCTATCTGTAACTGGTACAAAAGGGTCGAGTAGAAAACAAAATATTGTGCAGACGGGTTGCTCAAGATATACTAGTCAAACGGACTGGTTATTGAGAAATATTAGAAAAGTCGGCAAGCACTGCGTAATTAAAAATAAAATTATTTTACAGAGCGAGGTGTACGCGAGATTGAAACTGCAGCGCAATTTAAACGGCGGCATCTCAGCACACCTGTTCGTTCGAACGGCAGCCATGAGACTGGATCCGAAATGCACGGAGAGTGTCAGTTGTGAACTCCCATTCTTACCCATTCTGTTGGTGGAAGTCCTCCAGTCGTTGGATAGCATCAACCGCACACGCTGCCTGCGTGTCTGCGCTCTGTGGAATGGGATTCTAACCACAGACGCCTCCTTCCGCGATGTGTGGGTCTCCGGCCGCCGCGAGGAAAGCCTGTCGCCTGGCATGTCGCCCTTGTTCTGGGCGGTCACGTGTCTTCTCCATTGCGTCAACCGTCAAACCAAGATCGTCGTTCTGATGCACATGGAGCTGAGCGATTGCGACGCTGCGGCCACCATGGTTCGATATATAATCGGCAGCGGTAACCGCGTCGGAACGCTGCTGTTTGGTCGCTGCTCGCTGGAGCACCACGATAACTGGCGCATAACGGAGACCCTGAAGTGCTTGGCGCGAATATGCGGTATAGCGGAGCGTGTGTGCTGGACACGGTGCCGTGTTAAGGAATCGCGCTTGACTGCCGTCGTACCGCGGTACTCCATCATCTGTCAGACAGACCAGCAGCTGGAAATGCAGCTGTGGGATCTCTTCGAGAAGAATCTTGTGGAGCAACCGGTCCGTTTAGCGCTCCTGTCGCAGTGGATGGCCCAGGCGGTTGCTGAGGAGCGCTACTACGCACTGGGACCGGTAAATGAGTATCTTTCTGGGTTTATTGATTTTATTGCACGGCAGGCAGACATCTCAATAAATGCTACAGTGGACTGAACATGATAACTACACAGTAAAATCGTCTGAAACTCGAAACTTAGACGTTATTTGAAGCGATGAGTTCAAATCTGGAAAATACCCGTAGAAATTTAAACCTAGCAAATAGCAGTGGTGAGACATGAGCCACCGTGAACGACACTACAGCAAGAGACACTCAAGGAAGTAAATAGAAAATGAAGATTATTAAACGGTTGCAATATGCTTTAAAGCAGCCAGGAAATTCCTGTTAAAAATGTCGTTTCCAGCCGGGTGTTGCAAGGGTTTGACTGTTTGCAGAGTCTCTGCCACTATCAGAGCGTCGATCCGCGTTCCTCAACGCACTATCGTGGCTGCCAGTGGACAGCGTCTGACCTGCGCAATATGGATACGAACAAACTGACCAAAATCACCGCAGCGGTTTTGTGCAGGAGGCTGGAAGTTGAGCCGTGGCTGTCCCCTCCTGCCGATAATTGACCGTCAGCTTACTCGGTAGCTCCACTAACATCGGAAATTATTGTATTCGAACCGGACGTCTACTGTCGTGATGCTACTGCACAATGGCTCCAAATAACCCAACATGACCTCCCACACCTGGACGCGCGACCAACCCAGAAAGTTTGGGACGATCCCATAATTCGCGACACCGCAGATCGGCTACGAGCGACAGCCGGGAATGACATCTCCGAACAGGCAAGGCTGAGAGGTGTGAGCACGAAAGAAAATGGGGCATGGTTAGAGCGCTGCCGGTTGCCTCCCTTGGCAACCTTCTTACGGACTCCGTGGTAAGAATCGCCGTTGGTTTGCGTCTGGGTGCACCGGTAATTACCCCACACCGCTGTGTATGCGGTGAATGGGCGGATGCTCGAGGCTACCATGGTCTAAGCTGCAAGAAAAGCCGAGGACGAATCCCCACACATAAATGCCTGAACGCCATTGTGAAACGTAGCCTCGCATCTGCTGGTTTCGAAAGCGAACTGGAACCGCAAGCTATCTTTCCAACAGACAGTAAGCGACCAGACGGAGTTACCTTGACACCATGGGATAGAGGACGAATGCTGGCATGGGATGCTACTTGCGTCAACACAATGGCCATATCGCATATTATTGCGACATCCGCACGAGCGGGAGCAGCAGCAGCACAGGCCGAACAGGGCAAGATCGAGAAATATCGCGATATCGGCCAAGAGTACTGGTTCCGTCCTCTGGGTTTTGAAACGCTCGGGCCGCCCGGACCGGAAGCTGCCCGCACGATAACGGAATTTGGACAGCTCATACAACAAGAAACTGGCGAAAAACGTGCCACGGAATACCTTCGCCAACGGATCAGCATTGAAATACAACGAGGAAATGCGGCATCGATCATGGGGACAGCGCCATTGGGAGCAAATTTAGATCAAATTTTCTCTGTAATTAGGCCGCCCCTCTCGATTGATGCTTAATAAGAGTAATTGCCTTCTAAGTTACTGTAAATGCTTTGGTGAGGAAAAATAATAAACAAAATGGGTGTACCATAAAAAAAAAAAAAATTGGCCGTCATATTTACGTCTAGAAACTAAAAAGCGTGTCTGTTACTTCATTTGTGCGTCGCTGGCTTTCCTTAGCAACGAAATTGAACAATGGGCGCGTCTGTAACTGTAGATCTTGTTGGTTGTTGGTTAATCAGCTAGGAATGGAATCGTTTTGCATGCATTCATACCCTCTATCACACCATTAGAATTACTATTATTATGCAGAATTTGATACTCGTTTGGTACATTTGATAGCCCTTTGAGACAGCGATGGCGTGAAACTGAATAAAAGTGCTTAAAGTTTAATGCGGCTATGGAGAACAACGCAATGGAACAACAGTTATTCAACATTTTCTTGAAAATTACCGCTTTAACGACGAGGGTGCTTCCACAGATTACGGGCCTACACGGCGCCACCTCCCCGTTTTTCTGTGTTCGCAGCCTCGTTGTCAGCCCGTCGTCAACGCCGTCCGAGTGCGCGCGACTGCCTTGAGTATGATGACGGTATACCGATTTATTTCGCCGCACTTGTGGTGTAAGTTATTACGCGTTGTCAAAGTAACGATTCTCCGAAGTCAGTATATATCTGTATGTACTATGCATGTAAATTCCGAAACAAGCATATCATGTCACCATTTCCAATTTTCACCGGAAAAATTTCACAGTGCGGGTCCATGCGCCGACCGTCACAAGATCGGGATAGACGATCGAGTATAAAATCAACAATGCCAACATACTCAGCTGCCTGTAAACAGTCCAGGCTAGAACCATAGCGCTTTAAACCAGGCGTAGTACACGGCCATAACGGCTAAGCGTGGCAATTCCGCCAGATCCAATTGGCGCAGTTCTTCAGTCGACCACGGGCAAACAAAGCTATCCCTTGGAAAGCGCGGATCCAGGCTCCGATAATTGAACAGTATCTGGAAACAGATTTAACACGCAATGCATTCACCAGTCGCGTACAAACGAACGAGAAAGGAGCCACGCACCTCTTCCAGGACGTCTGCACTCTGCGTACGGGCTATCATCGCGGATAATTCCATCAGGGAGCACGCTTCGTTGACAATATGCTTCTCAAACAGATCCCAAAGGTGCCCGTGTAGCTGCTCTGCTGGTTGGCAGACGACCGAGTGCTGCGCCACGCATGCCGTCAGAAGCGTATCCGCGATGTAGCACTTTATCCAGGACGCGCGCTCCGCCAAACCGCAGACCCGACCGAGGACGGTTGTGGTGTCCTTTAGAAAGCTTTCTTCTTCAAGACGTAATAAATACTTACAAAACGTCAGCGTCCCGATGCGGTTCCTGACACCGAGAATATGGATAATGATTTCGGCAGCAGTGGCGCATTCGGCCAGGCTCATCTGCACAAAGGTCACCTTCTTCGTGTCGACGTTGACGCAATGCAGGAGAGAGGCCAGCGTCCAGAACCGCGGTTGCTTGTGGGAGAACAGATCGCTCTGTTCTCCACCAAAAACTAGCACATCGGACAAGGAGGTCTCCGTGGTGATGATCGTGTTCCAGAGGGCGCACGTGCGTCGACAGCGGCTGCGGCCGATGCTGTCCAGGAAACCAAAGACCTCGATCAGCAGTTCGCAGGGTAAACACTCGTCCAGCGCATCGCTGAGCCAGTCCACGCGCGTTGTAGCAGAAAGCAGATGCCGACCGCGTAGTTCGGGTTTTAATTCGCCCTTCTCCAGCTGTATCTTCAGCGTCATGTAACGGTCTTCCTGCAAACGTTTCCTTCAGTTTCGGTACACTAATCACTTACCAGGGCTCGGTCACCGCCTTCCCCCCCAAAAAAATTTCGTTTTTTGTTTGAGGACGGAAGAGTTATGGGGAACACTTAAAAAATACTTACTTTCATCGGCAGTGGTGCAGTGGGCGTGGCCAAACACAAATTTAATGGTCGACATTATTGCCGTATTTTTTATTATGCGTCATATGATACGAGTATTACAGAATACAGATTACACTGATAACTTTATTTTCCGAGTTCTGTGTTATCCGTTACCACTGAAGTTTTTATTTTTTCATTGATTTATTTCCTAAATCACTGTTTTTAAAAAATGAAATTGTTAGAGAATTCGCCACTAGCGACTGTACAGACGCCCGTGTACTGAAATCCATGCATGTTGGAGCTTGATAAGTGGCGAGATTAGTAAAAGTTTTACTTTTTCAAAACAGTTATTTAGGAAGTACATAATATGAAATGAAATAGTGCAGTGGTAATAATAATATGTAATGGGTAACACAGTCTTCTGGAATTAATTTTCAGTGTAATCTGTATACCATAGTTTTACGATACCGCAATCCAACAATGGCAATACATGCTATAATGTCAACCATCAAATTTGTGTTTGGCCACGCCCAGTGGACCATTGCCGATGAAAGTATTTTTTTATGTGTTCCCCATACCTCTTCTGTCCTCAAACAAAAAACGAAATTTTTCTGAGGGTGGAGGCGGTGACCGAGCCCTGGTTAGTAACCCCGTATACTGCAGAAAATGCTTTAGTTACTATTGCTTATCTTTAGTTATCTTGTAAAAAAAAACGCTACTTATCCTGAAACTGCATCAATTACTTGCATGATGCCGGTTGGCGGTATTCGACCAAGATGCTACGTTGCGTTACTCACCAATTCCGGCGAATACAGCGCCGGTTTCCTGGCGTAGCGCTGAACATAGTACATCTTCCCGTCCAGCACCGTCGTGCAGCGCACTCGTTCTAAACTCATTTTGCAGAGCTCGCGGAGCAGCGCAGGTCCCTCGAACCAGGCCGTCGGCAAGGAGCAGTCGCGGACGACGTAATCATTTTCCCGGATGCGATGGCTATCCAGATCCGCTTCCGAGGGCGGAAGCCGCACTTGGTTTCTATGCACCAGTGTCTTGACGACGCCGTAAGGGAGCTGCACCTCCACGCAGCACACACCAGCCCAGCAGCTTTGGCTTCCCAGGGACACCTTCCCGGGATACCATTTCCAGGGATCGTCGGGGCTTGCTCGCAAGAGGACTTGCACATTTGGGGCTAAAGATATGTCCAGACGCTGACAGACATTCTGCGAATGGAGAATAAGACCGTATTCGACCAATTGCGTCTCTGTGGAGCGCAACCGAAATCGATGACCAGTCCATTCTCGGCAACGTCGGCTACTTCGCCGTGCTGCAGCAGACCGTCGATGAGGACGTCCACGGTGTTCCACGCGTGCAATGACCGACGTCGATCGTTTTCGTAAACGTGCATTCTACAGCCGAATTCTAGCCGGCATCGAATTAAGCCGATTTGATTTAAACTGCACAAAGATTAAAACCTGTCGATGATAATCTAAGCTTTCTAAGGCTTTGGAAGCACAACGTGGTGGTATAGGTATATAAATGGCGCAGTAAACTTTCCTCACTCGATGCATCGACCGACGTTGAGATCTAAAGGCAAAACGTCCAGAGAAAGAAGTTTATTTCCGTACATACTCTTTCCAACATCATAAAAGCACTTCAACCTCGATTAAACATCAATCGCAGTGCGATGACTCCCAGCATCTATGAGACCATGAATTATTGTGACTCACTGGCTTGAACCTGACAAATGACTACCGAACCGTTAGACCGAGGACAACATAGAAAATTAATATCGCTGCATGCGATTTGTACCGCAATGTTACGATGACATTTATAATGATTTATGTGAGCACTGAGTACTAAAATTAATAAGCGTTACTTTAGCGCGCTGCCAACGTGCAGCGAGCTGGCAGGTTGCATGCCAGCTACCGGTATGCCAGCTACCGGTAGATACCGCTACCGGTACCTTGTAAACTGCTGTTAAATGCCGCAGACTCGTAACAGACGTGCCCGGCTTGTATGTCTGATCGCAAGACTTAACATATTCATCGGAATATGTTCCGACTTATGATCATCGGCCGAACTTGTTTAAAATTTTTTGATGATCATGCCAGTGTGCTGCTTTCTTTATTCCGTACAAGTGGATTTTCACATGGCGGCGCCTACATAATTTAAATAAATAATCCATTTCAAGAGCACATTACTGAATCACGTTTCCTTGTAAGCAGCGCGTAGACGCAGTCGTCCCGTAATAACGAATACGTTAATTACGTTCGTTGCGAACTGACAATGTTTTCTTTGACTCAGTTTGGAGCTTGTCGATAACCTCTTTATTTATTATGAGTAGAGTTTCTCAGAGAATTTGACGAAAACGAAAAGACTTTTTTACTGAGCTACGGAACGTGGGGAACAGGTAAGTTCTGGCATTATTGGAAATAACGCCGTTATCGGCTGTCTTAGTTTTTAGTTTTATTACTGATGCCAGTTTTCATTTCCTGTCGTTCCGTAACTTCCGTTCCGACTTTATGAACAAAGTTACCGATCCAGTAATATACATCTGTATATGGTGATCTGGAAGCGATTTAGAGTAGTTATTTGTATGTGAAATCAACGTCGTAATTGCAAGTGTTTCTTTAAAAGTCTGCGGACAAAATCTCATCCCTGGTCGTAGCGAAGCATGACAGTCCCTGTCCCTGTAGCGAGTCCCTACACAATTTGGACAAGCAGTACATTTTCACCATGTTTGTGTACGACCCACTTGAACAATCTCTGTACGCGTGGAACGCCGTCGAAGTCTTCGTCGACGGCCTGCTCCAGCTAGGTAGAGTAATCAACGTAGTGGAGAAAGGTCTGGTCATTGATTTTGGTTGCGCCACGCAGCGCTCACAGTTTATCGAATACCGGCGTATTTTCCACGCGTGTAAAGCTAGATCGCCTCATCCTGTGAATACCTATCAGGAATACCGTGAATATCGTAATGTGCAAGTTCTCTTCCGAGCGGGCCCCGACCGCCCCTGGGCATGGTATCCCGGGACGGCGGTGTCGCTTGGGGAGCAAAGCTATTTCGGGTGTGTGTACATCGTGGAGGTTAAACTGCCTCACGGCGTCGTTAAGGAATTGCTACCCAGGAATCAAGTACGGCGCCCGCCCTCGGACGCCGACTTAGCCGCCCGCCGCGTCCAAGACAAGGACTTCGTAATCCGCGGATGTCCCTTGCCGGCCGCACCACGTGAGCTTGGGGATCTGTTGGCGTCCAACTTGCCTCCAATGCGGCGAGTGTTATGTACGGAGGTGCTCAACGAGACGCTGCTGTACCTGCAGCGTCGCCTGGACCGAGAAATGCAACCGCAAGAACTAGTGGGTGACATTACTTTTAACAGTATAGTGAATTGCATTTGCTACTTTGATATGGACTACTTCGTACATGTTAAATTTTTTTGCAGGATACAAAAAAGAATACGTAAGGATATTGTGGATACAAGTCCAGTTGTTATTACAGGAAGAGGTTTACCACCGACTGAAGAAAAAATATAATAACAACCAAATCTCACAAACCCTGATGGTTTCAAGACGCGGGACGAAACGGAAGGCCGGTGACAGTTGTGAACTAGTATTCCCATTCTTACCCAGCGAGCTGCTAGTGGAAGTCTTCCAGTCACTGGACAGCGTCAACCGCACCCGTTTCCGGCGCACGTGTGCTCTGTGGAACACGACACTCACCACGGATGTCCATTTCCCCGAGGTGCGGGTCTCCGGCCGCGTGGACGACAGTCCGCCGACCTGTACGCCGCCCTTATTCTGGGCGCTGACGGGTCTTCTCCACGGCGCCAACAGCAGCACCAAAAGCATCGTCCTCATGTATATGGATATGAGCGAATGCGCCGATGCGGCCAAGATGGTCCGCTACATCATCGGCCGAAACGGCCGCGTTGGGACGCTGGTATTCGTTGGGTGTTCTCTACAAGCCTGGTGTTTGCAGAATACTATCGGCGGTTTGCTGGAAGTGTGTGGCGTAGCGGAGCGGGCTGGCTGGATACGGTGCCGCATCGCAGAGGAGCGCCTGACGGCCATCGTGACGCAGTATTGGGCCCTTTGTCTGCCCCCGGAGCCACTGGACGTCCATTTGTGGGATTTGTTTGAAAATAGTCTCGTCATAGAGAAACCGGTGGATCTAGCGCTCTTGTCGGAGTGGATTGCCCGGACGATGCAGCAGAATTATTCAGACCAGCTTTGGCAGGTAATTGAATGACTGTCTGTTTCTTGCCATGCTGTCGGTAATCATATTATTAGAAACTCATGCTCTGTACGCCGTGTACGGTATGATAATTATTGAAAACACCAGCCACTCATGGAAACACAAGCTTACGGCAAACCGACACTTTGTGACCGGCAACTTGCTGACGTCTTTTTGCAGAAACAGTAACCCGATGATCGACAAATTGCTGAACGACAGTTCGTTGAACCTCGAACCTCATAAGATGGCGTATGAAAAGAGAAAACAACCAATAAAAAAACATAATAAAACCTAAGAAACCAAAGAAAGCTAAGAAACCCATGAGAAAACACCCAGAAAGCTAATAAACCCAGAAACCAGATAGGTAAGTTAGTAACCAATTTGTTGGTCAACAACATATTTTCTTATCGATCTGCAGCTTATTGGTCAACAGCAATATGTCGGTCAGCAAATTGTCCAAAACAAAACGAAGGTCAGTGAATCTGACGTGCTACCCAAGCTTAATGCGAGTAAGTGGGCTAGCGCATTCAGTCATCTCTCAAACAGAAGCGCAGTCGGATATTGCCTCGAACTGAATTAACTGATCAATAAGCAGAGCGTCCGTATGGCGGCGAAAGGGTTTCCAACGACATGCTTACCGTAGTACCGGTATTCGTACTGGCTGGGAATTAACTAGACGAACGGCTTTTGAGTATTTTTCGATGTGTTTGCAGACTCTGGACCTTTACCAGCGCGTGGATCCCCGGTCAACGCACTATCGCGACCGTTGGTGGGCACTACCTTCCCCCCGGAATGATGTGGATGTGAACAAACTGACCAAAATCACCGCCGCGGCAATGTACCGTGTGCTGAAGGGATCGCACTGGCTGGCACCATCTCGTCCACCATGAACTTTTTTTCTTAATAGTGAAAGCGACTCGAAATTGGCTTCGATGATAAACAGAACTGCTGCTGTTAAAATTCGGTAGTTTTGGGAGTTTGGTTTGATGAAGCATAAATCTGCTTTGAGTGCCGTTGCGATACAATTGCTGAAATAATCCTTAAACCGGTCATTCATTCATGTATCGGGAGCAGACAGGCTGATTAAACTTCTTTTAGAGTTGTTTTACTTGCTCTACTTCTTTGTAGCTATTTGGCTTCGAAACGCGTATGTTCTTATGTTTTGTCTCATTTGTCTGTACCGCGCCACAGGTGATTAATCTGCTGACCCGTACGGTGAACTTGACCAGTTTGCTAATGATACCGAAGTATACTGTGCACATAAATTCCGGAGCAAGACCAAGACATCACTTCACCATTCACAGTATTCAAATTTACCGGTAACATTTCACAGTTACAGACTGTACGGGAGCGTGCGTCAGCCACTTTAAGATCGCGACAACGATCGGGTATAAAATCAGTACAGTGTGGCAGTATGCCACCGTAATCAACTGCCTATTAACATGGATGCCTAGAGCTAAAACACTTTTCTCCAGGCGTTATAAACGGTTCTGGCGGATAATGCCTGCCTAGAGCGCAGTTCGTCGGCAAGATGCTTCTCTAAGAGATCCGACATCCGCTTGTGCAGCTGCTCTGCCGGCTGACAGACGACCGAGAGTAGTGCCAGGGATGCCGTCAGCAGCGTATTCCCGAAGTGGCACTTTAGCCAGCACGCGCGATCCGCCATACCGCAAACCGGCAGCAAGCCGGCTACGAGCCCATTAAGATCCCCTCCTTCGTCAAGACGCAATGAACACTTACATCAGCATCAGCGTCCCGATGCGGTTGTTGTCGCCGAGAACATAGTCAACGATTTTGACCGCAGAGGCGCATTCAGCCAGGTTCATCTGCACGAAGGCCACCTTCTTCGTGCCGGCGTTAACGCAATGCAGGAGAGAGGCCAGCATCCAGAACCGCGGTTGTCTGTCGGATAAATCGCTCTCTTTACCACCGAAAACTTGCACCTCGGACAAGGAGGCCTCCGTGGTGATGATCGTGCTCCAGAGGGCGCACGTGCGGCGACAGCGGATGCGGCCAATGCTGTCCAGAAAACCGAAGACTTCGATCCGCAGTTCGCATGGCAGATACTGGTCTGGAGCATCACTGACCCGGTCCATGCGCGCTGTGGCAGTTAGTAGATGCCGACCGCGTAGCTCGGGTTTTAATTCGCCCTTCTCCAGCTGTACCTTCACCGTCATATACAGGTCCTCCTGCAAACGCGTTTAACTTAATTTTGGTACAATAATCGCTCTAGAAACACATTGGAAACTGCAGAAAATGCTTTGGGCTACTACTGCTCATCTGGTTAGATTATACAGTCTGTTTCCTAATTTTTGGTTCAGAGGTAGAACCAAGAGATGTGGCTTATACACAGCCTTACCGAGAATCAGAATGCTTCGACAGTGTCCATTCACATACAGACACATCCATTCAGATCAAAAGTCAGTGTGCAGCGGTAGTACAATATTTTAACAACAGCCTATCTGGCTGCTGTTTTGGTGGATCCACCTTACTCCACCTTACCACGATCTGTCGGCTGTTAGGATAAAAGGTGGCACGGCCTGCAACAATGCTGGCTGAGGAAGCTCTTACTGATGTAACACGATTACACAGGTGGCTCCGATTGGGATGACACAGGTTCATCCCAAGCGGTCAAACACAAGAACGTAACTCAAGGCATGTTTAATGACAAGGGCGTTTATGAAACGGAGCAAGGTTTAGGGCAAGAAGTTTATCAAGTAGATGGTGCAAGCTGTAGCAAGCTGAGAACAAGACTGAATTCTAGAAAATCATGAGAAGGAAAGCTAGCCGGTAAAGTGGACAGAAATTCATAACGCGATGGATCTGACTGGGTGGTCTTATTGGTCGTACAGTGCTATCGCTATAATATCTGTACACCAAGCACCATGGCCAATACAATCACACTCTAACTGAAAGGGAAAATACACATTTTCCTTCTCTACCAGGTTGCAAAAAGTACCGAGAACAGAGACAGCGCACCCCCCCCCCTCGCTACGGCCCTGTCAGTACGTATTGATCACCATTAAAGGACTTATATCAATCACACTCTACTGAGTCCGTTTGAACCAAAAAAGTGGAATGTATAAGGCAAACGTTGGTTATCCTGAAACTGCATCAATCACATGCAGATTGGCTGTATTCGACAAAGATGCTAGTCATCATTCTACGTTGCGAAACTCACCAGTTTCCACGAATACAGTGCCGGCTTCCTGGCGTAGCGCTGAACATAGCACAGCTTCTCGTCCAGTGCTTTCGTGCATCGCACTCGTTCTAAATTCAGTTTGCAGAGCTCGCGCAGCAACGGTGCCCCCTCCGACCAGACCGCCGGCAGCGTGCAATCGCGGACGACGTACTCCTTCTCAACCACGCGCCACCTGGCTAGGTCGGCCTCCGAGGGCGGACGCCGCACTTGATCTTCAGGCAGCAGCTCCTTGACGACGCCGTACGGGAGCTGCACCTCCACGAGGCACACCTTGGCCAGGCAGCGTTCGTTTCCCAGGGAAAACGCCTTCTCGGGGTACCATTTCCAGGGATAGTTCTGCCCCGCTCGCATGAGGACTTGCACGTTAGTTTTTCGAATAGGTTCATAGGACGGGTCCCTACCAGCTCGCACAAGAGCTTGCACGTAAGAGTAGAAAGGTAGGTCCAGACGACGATGGGAGCTCTGCGAATGGAAGATGGGTCCGTACTCGACAAACTGTGCGCGCTGTCCCTCGCAGCCGAAATCGATTATCAATCCCTTCTCGGCAATGTCGGCTATTTCGCCGTGCTGCAGCAGACCGTCGATAGTAACGTCCACTGTATTCCACGCGTACTGATGCCGATCGTTCTCTCCGTAAACATGCATTCTACAGTTTTCTTTCACCAAATTTCAGCCAGCTTCAAGTATCTAAATCTGTTGTGTGCTTCTGCTTTTGTGCAAACTGCACAAACACTGATGATTGGAACAGAGTTAGAAGTCGGCTTGCAACAGAGTTAGAAAAGGTACAGCGTAAAGTTAATAAAGTTAAAATGTGTTGTATGGATGAAATGCTGCATTAGGCGTCCAACAATCAGTACCTCGAGCTCAATCTAGCTAGTGAGTTATCACCTACTCTATTCGAGTTACTTACCTCTACTCATGACTCATAAGGCTTGTGAGTCATGAGTACAGGTTAATAAAGGTACTCTTTTCAACACCATAAAGCACGAGAAGCTCGATCACATCAGCTGCAGTGCGGTGCCACAGGCATCTAACTCGAACAGGCATCTGACTCGAACCTGGCATACGATTGCGCTCCGGTGGATAAGTGTGAGATACACAATACCCATGCCAAAAGTGACATGCTCAGGTAGTTTAACTCAACTTCACCCCTGTACCGCGTTAGGATCGGTTTTCGCTGTCTGCGCTGATTCATTTGCAAAGGTATCCCGTTCCATCAAATTCAACTGCAATGTCAGTTTGTCATAACTAGGGTAAAACTAACAATCATGTCTCGTGGCGGTTTAAACCCAGCTCACGTTGCCTATTAACGGGCGAACAATCCGACGCTTGCCGCCAGCTGCAACTGTATGATAGGAACAGCCGACATTGAAGGAGAAAAAAGCGACGTCGCGATGAACGCTTGCATTGGATCCTTACAACGCTGTAGCCAGCCGCTCAAAGCACGTTGAGCGCAAATCTGCCAGCTCCCTCCCTGCTTGCGTAACGTAACGCTTACTCGTTGCTCGCATAACTCAATTCCAGAAATCTCTATCACATACCGGCAATGATGTCAACACGCAGATCGCAAGCCTCCCGGCGGAGTCTCTCCCGCCTCATCTCTTGCGTTGGTCTTTCTAACCGGAATTTCAGCTCACACACGTACTACATAGTACGTTGACGCTGAAAACTGGACCGGTTTATACAGTCTTCTACAGGCTACAGCCGATTGCCGAATGCTTCCTTGTGCTGCTATCGATTGACTGCTTTACTTATACCCGATCCTTGGTACAGTTTGTTGCAAACCCATCCCTTGTTTTAAAGTAAAGTCCGCACAGCTGCGTGATGTCGTTTCATCCGCTGCCGGTTCTCCAAAATAAGCGATGCTGCTCGGTCTATTTTAACCGAGTCAACGGAAGCTGAAAATTTACAAAACTAGTGTTCCAGTGTGTTTTTCTATTGCTTCGGTTAGTTCGGTTTTGCTGTAAATCGCGACGTTAATACTTAATACTCTTTCATGCTGTAAGATCCGGAAGCAGGCAGATACACACTCACGCAGACTCGTGATCGCCATCTTCATTTACAGTGAGGACGAGCTGTCGCGACGCTTTATGTCCTCATGGAACACCGTCTACGTCCGCATTGACGGCCTGCTACAGTACGGCAAGGTCATCAACAAGTTAGACAACGGCCTGATCATTGATTTCCAGTGTGCTCCACAACGCGCGCAGTTTGTGGAATACGGGCGCGTTTTTCGCCCATGGGAATCGTTTACACCGCAGGACACACGTCCGGACTCTAATATACAGGCTCTCCTGCTAGTGAGTCCTGATAGGCCGTGGACATGGTACCCCGGCAAGAAGGTATCTCTTAGTAGCGATGGCTATTTCGCCAGCGTATGCCTGGTGGAGGTGCAGCAGCCCCACGGCGTCGTCAAAGAACTGTTGCCCTGGGAACAAGTGCATCGACCGCCCTCGGATACCCAGTTGATCAATCGCGGCGTGTGGGAGGAAGATTTCCTTATCCGAGGCTGCCCCTTGCCGGCGGGTTGGTTAGGCGCATCGCCAGAACATCGCGAGGCCTTCCTCTCCAGTCTGCCCCGGGCTTCAAACGTTCTCGTCGTTTCGGTGCTCAGCAACGCGCTGGTTTACGTACAGCCACGCTGCGGTGGGCTACTTCCGTCTTCACTGGTGCGGTTTGTTGAAGTCTTTCTAGGCGGTGGCTGTGCAGACTGTGCTCGAATCATGTTAGACGGCTACTAGTAATTCAGATTAACATATGTGCGGTTATATGCAAAATTTAAAGCTGATTGGTCGAAAATGACAGTTCTTGCATACCTGAATCAATTGAACTGTACAGAATTTTCGTATAGCCATAACTCACAGACCTGATGTTGGGCGCACAGACGGCTTTTACGCCAATATATACAAATCATAGGGCTATAGAATTAATATTTCTGCAGGAGCAGCTGTTTGACAGCTTACGGAACCAGATCGTTCCGCCTCCGATTGCGGCTGAAAGACGCGAGGAAACCCGTCAGACCATTGTTTGTGCTGATGCACTAGTTCAATCGTTACCCAGCGAGTTGTTAGTGGAAATCTTGCATTCGCTGGACAGTATTAGCCGCGTCCGTTGTCGGCGCACATGCCCGCGTTGCGATGCTCTTCTCACCACAGACGGCTGCAAGCCGCCGGTGTTCTGGGCGTTAACGTGTCTCTTGCACTGTGTCAACAGCCTCACGACGACGGTTGTGCTGCTGCACATGGACATGAGCAAATGCCGTGATGCTGTCACCATTCTTCGCTACATTCTTGGCCACAGTCGCCGCATCGGGACGCTGGTGTTTGGCTCGTGTTCGCTGCAATATACCAGCTGGACCTTAAGCTACCTCCAGCAGATGCTGGGCGTAGCCGAACGCGCCTGCTGGACCCGGTGCAGCATCGTGGAAGAGCATCGTGGCGCGGCAGTCGGTCGTTTGTCAGCCGGATAAGCAGCTGGCCGTGCAGTTGTGGGATCTCTTTCAGGCGAATCTCGTTGTGGAGGAACCGGTGGATCTGGCGGTCTTGTCGGAGTGGATTGCCCAGTTGATGCAGTCTAACAAACTGGACACGCTTGAGAAGGTATTGCAGGATTTTAGAAAGCGTAACACGCATGGTACTTTAACGATACATACTCGTATAGAGAATGTGCTGACTTCTAAGTCTACAGTAAGAACTAGGAAGTGGTCACGATCTTAAGCCACAACAACTGTAATAGGACACAAGGATTATGTAACTGAGCTCCATCATGTTTACCTTTTCATACTGTTTGTGGCTATTCTTGTGCGTTGAACTCATTAATTTATTATATCTTCTGATGTGTTTATTCTTGATAGACACTGGACCATTACCAGAGTGCGGATCCACGTTGCTCGACGCATTATCGCCGCTGTCAGTGGAGACCATCGGAAATTCGCGATCTCGATGTGGCCAAATTGTCCAAAATCACCACGGCGGCTTTATTTAAAGAGCTAAAGAGAGCGCGCTAATTGTTCACGTCTCTTACTTCATGGTTTGCTGTTACCTTTGGCTGGTACCCCTAAAAGTACGGGCGTATCATTATATCAGTAAATGAATGTCTTTTAGCGGTTTATTTAAGAGATACACCTGGGCCCCGGTGAGCATGGATAGTTTGCCCATGTTGGAAACAATATTTCGATATTTCCCTGATTATAATATTACTTCTGTCTTTTGTGCCCAAGGCATGGTTCACTAACAAAAAGCACTCTTGAACAACCTTTGGCCGCGTGCGTATTTAGGAATTACAGAATTGCACTGCGGTGCGCTAAGATTGCTAATTATCAGTTCAGTAAGAGTACCGTTATTACTAAACGCGGAAAAAGTGTCAGTTGGCACGTTGCTCAAATTTCCTCTGTATTAAGCGACGCCTTTCGTCTGTGTTGCTCCAGTCGTTTTTCCAGCGCTTTCACAAATGCGATAACTGACGGTCTCCAAGATCTTGACAAGGCTCGCACAGACACTCGCAAAAAATCTGCCAAATGAGGCCCGCTCTGACAGGCACACTGTTTCAAACGTTTTCGGAGCAGAAATTTACCTAGTATCTGCCGCTTAAGTGTGAGTATAGCCGACTCCGAGAGTAGCCCGAAACATTTTTGTTTGGCTTCCACCGCCGCTGCACCTGCGCTAGTTGCAGTGGACTTACTGCGGTAAGGCGCAACGGTGTCAACACAAGTACCATCGCAAGCCAGACAAATCCCTCTCTGTCAGGCAGCGGCTGTTTTGTATTAGTTGTCTGTACTAGTAGTCGAGTGCATTTACGCTAGAAGGTAATGGCAACGCAACGGATTAAATCCTTGGACACCGGAGAATCCGCGTATTGCGACGTAAAACGCCGCATCCTGTTTAGCATGCATGTATATATGTTCTGCGTACAGCGGCTGTCATAACTATACGCGAACGATAACAGTTTCCGCTGTTACTCAGTTGCTCTCCCGTTAAGAATTTTTATTTTTGATAGAAATTTCGAGCGTGATCTTTCTTAGTACTGGACGTTTTCGCCGCTCTTCGATATCTGTATTTTACATAAGTGTCCCTTTGCGCATGGCGGTAACTGTCGATACTGTTCGCACGTTTAAGAAGAAGCAACTTGCGCGCTTGAACCTGCAGGAGATCAAGCGGTTCATTGTGGAGTTGGAGGGAGAACAAGCGTTTGATCCGAAAGTGGAGACGAAACAAGACCTGGTGAACCGTTTCTTCCAGCTGCTCCATCCGGATGCCGCCTTAGAAGCAGAAGACGACCAAGCCGTTGGCGGAGCGGAAGACAATGATGCTCCTTTTGACCTTGGCTCTTTGGTCGGGATATCCGCCGAATCGGCCGCTCAACTGACTGGCAAGGGATGATTTGGCGGATGATTTGACCTTGTCGGCTAAAGTCAGGAAATTCCCCGACAATCTGGATTTCATCACTGGACGAATTCCCGAGACCGCGATCGCGTTGAAATTTTCGCTGCTCAACAAGTTGCTTGTTCTTCATCGGTCGTTGTACCGTCAAGGGATCGTTCCTCGACCTCAAATGACTGTTCTCCAACGAGTTTGCGCACCATATCACCCGGGATGCAACGGAAATCTATTGTTCGCGGCGGGTCACCAACGGCAAGGCTTTTTCGGCAAGCGTCATCATTCCCCTTCATGTGAGAATCAGACCCAATACTTAATACTGTACTTTACGAAGTTCAAGTCGTTCGTAAAAGCAGCCCATACGGCTTATAAAATGATAATTATGGGATTAACAATTCGCCGGTGTTCGCTAACACTAAGGGCGCTCTTAGTCCGGCTCGGACGAGTGACGCAATGTCAGATGACCTTTCGGTGACGGATTTGCGCGTGCGTCTCTTACTAAATTCTTGTAATACAATTTAGAAGGAATGGTCGTGCGCTCCACCAGACCACTCGGTATTACAGCTTAGCGCGCTTTAGCCAACCCAAATGCCGGTTTTCAAAACGTGCAGAGCCAATGTGCCACATGCGTACTCTTTGAATGCGTACGCGACCCTGTCGTTACAATGTTGTATTTGACGCAAAAGCGTAGTGTTTGCAGACAGGAATACAGTTTTTCTGTTTGATTGTGAATTTGGGTTATGTCTAGGCGAGTATTCCCGCCACGGCTCCACAGCTGGCGCGCATTTCTTGGCAAATATCCGCCCAACCTCGGATTCCCCAAGGGAGATGGTCGCTAAGGCTCTTTTTCACTTACGCCAGATCAGGATATCCTCAGCATGCCGTTTCGATGTTTACTGTTGTTTCAACTACAACAAACAAAAATCCTGCTTTCAGACTCCGTGACTCTTTCCACATGTCTGCGGATTTTGTGGGAAGGACCACCGGGCCATCAGTTGCCCCAAGCGACCCGGTATCATTAGATGATGACGTTTAGCAGCCACTTCCCTTTCAATTCCGGGTGCACGGCCTTTCGACTTTCTAACCGCATGACCTTTACCACTAGCCTAACCCCGATTCTCTGTCTTTGTCGCGCTATTGCAAACCATCTGTTTAAATGCATTTGCCCTGTCACGCTGTCGCTAGCACAAGTATTTTCTAACCCGGATTTGTTCTTACGTTGTCTCGTACTAGTCTTTTCTGTATGGGAAATCGAACTTACGGATGCACGGATAGAGTTTTTGTAGAAAGGTTTTGCTAGCGGTGTTTCTGTTTTTGTCGTTTTGAGCCAAGCAATACCGGCTGCTTGCAAAAATGTGCTGTATTTCGCTAATAAACTACACGGTGTCGTGCATACTTGTACGAATCAGACTAAATTCTGTTTACGCAGAGCAAACATCGGTTCGGATGCGCCATGATAAGATCCCGCTTGCAGATAGAGTGGTAGAGTCCACTTACAGCAGTGCATCTTATTTAAATATTTATTTCGGCTGGATAACTGTTGAGCTTCCGAGCAAAGGTCAGCTGCTGTACGGCAAGCGCAATAAGTATTGGATTTGTTGAATTTTGTTCTGCATGTTGGGCATCCACAGCGTGGCAACGGTACTGTATCAACAACCAAGTAGAATTTAACAACAACCAACCAACCCGTACTCTTCGGAGGGAAACTTATCGCCTTGCGGAAGAAGGACGGCGGTCTGCGCCCTATCGCGATTGGTCTGACCATCCGCCGGCTGGCTGCCAAGATCATCGGCGCACGTTTAACAGACCGAACAGCCGCCATCTTGTCTCCACAGCAGCTGGGAGTTAACGTGCGTGGCGGCGCCGAGGCTATCGTGCATGCCACTAGGTTGTTCTTGGAATCGGATGCTGATACGACGAAGGTGGTTCTCAAAATCGATTTCAAGAACGCCTTCAACACAGTCTCACGGGACGCCGTCCTGGCCGCAGCGCATGAGCATTTTCCTGAATACAGTGAATTTCTACGTAGTGCCTACGGCCACCATTCTGTGTTATTTTTCGAGGAATTATTGCTGTCCTCCGAATCCGGCGTTCAACAGGGCGATCCTCTAGGCCCTTTACTGTTCAGCCTGGCCCTCCGAGCAGTGCTGATCGCATTGCGGTTGAAGTTGAACGCGTGGTTTCTCGATGACGGAACCGTGGGCGGAACACCAGAGGCAGTTGCCGAGAGTTTTGCCGAAATTATTGAAGGCGCGATGGCCATAGGCTTGCAGGTGAACAAGTCTAAATGCGAACTGCTTGTTCTCGGTGGATCAGCTGAGTCCCAACGTAAAGTCACAGAGAACTTTCTTGAACGTTATCCCAAACTGCGCATTCTGTCGAAATCTACCATGTCATTACTCGGTGCTCCTGTACTGGACGAAGCTGTCGGACCATTACTGGACGAAAAAGCCAAAACGTTGACATTGGTCTGTGAACGGTTGCAAGTACTTCCAAGCCATCATGCGCTGTTTCTCCTAAAAAACTGCCTCGGCGCACCGAAAATTATCTAAATGCTACGATGTTATAACGCGTGGAGATATCCCAAGCTGCTTTATCAGTTAGATGAAACATTGCGCGAATGTTTCCAGAAGTTATCCAATGTGCGTACCAATCACGACGACTATCCGTGCTGGCGTCAGGCATCCCTACCTGTTAGCAGAGGCGGAATCGGCATCCGCCGGTCGGAAGAATTATCTCTCCCAGCCTTTTTGGCTTCGATTCATTCCGTATCCGGCTTGGTGTCCATGCTGCTTCCAGACTACGGTGTAGTAAACGTTACTGAAGCCCTTGATTTATGGAAACTAGGTTCCCGTCAGCCTGATATCCCAGACCCCGCCTTCCGGAAGTCCCAAAAAGCGTGGGATCTGCCACTTTGTAACGTTTCATTGTCAACATTATTGGACGTGTTTCGAGGTGACGAAGTGAATACAGCCCGCTTGCTTGCCCAGTCAAGGCCAGAAGCCGGCATCTGGTTGAACGCATTGCCTTCAGCTCACATTGGAAACTTGCTGGACGACGATGCCTTGAAAATCAGCGTCGGTTTGCGTCTAGGTGCTACGATCTGTGATCCTCATGATTGTAACAAATGCCACAAACCCGTCGATGGCTATGGTCACCACGGATTGTCATGCGCGTTTTCCGCGGGAAGGCATCCACGTCACGGTGGATTAAACAGTATCATTTGCAGAGCATGCGTGTCTGCGGGTGTACCAGCAAAGTTAGAGCCGCGCGGAACATCTCCTACAACGGAACGCCCCCCAGATGGCTGTACGACATTCGCCTGGAAACGCGGAATGTGTCTAGCATGGGATGTGACATGCGTAGACACAGTGGCCGCGTCACATGTTAAAGCAACGTCCGCCACAGCGGGAGCCGCCGCTACGCAAGCCGAGGAAAAGAAAATCAGACTGTATTCCTATCTGAACGGCCGCTATATCTTTGTCCCAATCGCTTTTGAAATGCTGGGCCCTTGGGGAGCGGCGGCCATCGCCATCGTCAAGGAGCTGGGTAAAAGACCGGAGAAGTACGCTCGCACGAATTTCTTCGACAGCGCCTGTCGATTGAGATTCAACGAGGGAACGCGGCGTCAGTACTGGGCACCATGGATGGAGTGGATAAGCTTAGGGGGCATCCATAAATTACGTACGCGGAAAACCACGATTTTTTCACTCCTCCCTCCCCCTTTGTAGCGGTCCGTCACGTTTGCGTGACCCCTCCCCCCTGGTTCGTTCAATCGTAATACATGGAGCTGACCACCCCTCCCCCCTGGGTTCGTCGAGGCCGTCACAGCTTGTCACAATTTTTTGACCCCTCCCTCCCTGGTTCGCTGCGTACGTAATTTATGGATCCCCCCTTACAGAGATTTTTTTGTTATAGTTTGAGCAGTTCTGTTTTATATTACCCACAGTGTAACGAGCAACAAGTAGAATTTAAGAGTGCTGTATTAGTTTTAATGCACTTCTGCAATTCCCTCCGCGCTGCCTTTAGGTGTATCTGCAAAGTAAATCATATCTCTATTACAGCAACGTTAGACGTTTTGGAATTTGGGAGCAGTTGAACTGATCCGACCGGAACAAGCTCACACCATGTTTGTGTACGGGCAGAATCACGGGGCTGCAGCACGGCAGCGTGATCAGCGTGACTGAGAAGGGAATGATCGTTGATTTTCGATGCAGGAAACAGCGCGCGCAGTTTGTCGAGTACGGGCGCCTCTTTCACTCCATCGAACCGCCTTCTGTCTGGAATGCCAGTGAAGACCGTATTGTACAAGTACTGCTGCGAGCGGCCTGCGATGGACCTTGGCAGTGGTTCCCGGGTGAATTGGTCCTCGAAGGAGGCCTTAGCTTTCTGGGCAGTGTTTACCTCGTCACGGCGCAGCTCCCGTACGGCGTCATCAAGGAGCTGCTACCGCGGCAACAAGTGCGGCGACCGCCCTCCGACGTCGACCTGCTCAGCCGGCAGGTGCGACCGGAGGAATTTCAGAGGCGCCGGTTCTCCGTGCCCAGGATGACCCTGGTACAGCAAGATGAGGAGGAGCCATTCAACGCGGTTGCCATGCCGGCTGCGAAGAGAAAACACATGGTCAGCGGCCTCCCGTTACAAGTCGAACTGTTGGCGGAGGTGCTCCAGACGCTGGACTCTCTCAAACGCACCCGCTGCCGGCGCATCTGCGCTCTGTGGAACGTTCTGCTCACCACCGAATTATATCACACGGATGTTAGGGTCTCCTGGCGGGCCGAGGACTGTCCGCGATCCTGGACACATCCCCGGTTCTGGATACTGGCGGGGCTGCTGCACTGCGTTACCCGTCGCACCAAGGTCATCGTTCTTATGCACATGAATTTCGGCGAAGGCGACCACGCCGCCTCCATGATCCGTCACCTGATCGGCCGCGTCGGGACGCTGGTGTTCTATCGGTGTTCCTGGCCGTATCCGGGTTTGACTTGGGACGACACGTTATACAATCATGGCAGCATCCTGCGAATCTGCAGCATGGCGGATCGCGCAATGTGGTTGCAGTGCCGAATTGAGGAGAAACATTTGCCGTCCGTCGTCTCGCAGTGGGCGCACTCCTGCCAACCGCAAGGAGAGCTGGAAGTTCAGCTGTGGAATCTCTTTGAGAAGCATATCGTTGTGGAGGCACCGGTGGATCGCAGCATCCTGTCGGAATGGATTGCTCACTGCATCGAGCGCGGCCAACTGGGAACCATTACAGAGGTGAGCAAAACTGGTTGGTTTTGGGTTCAATGGTTTAACGTCCGCACACATTCAGGGCAGAGTCTAATTCGAAGCAGCAGACACCCACAACAACAAGAATTCTCTAGAGAACACAGTATTTCAGATCAAGCTGTAAACAAGAATACAGCAGTGTATTTAATTTTATTACCACAACTTAGTACACTCGCTCCTTTACAAATACTTTTCCTGGCTATATCTCAGGTTCCAGAATTTTTTTCGTCATGTCTTTAAACGTACCAATGCGGGCAAGGTGCTGGAAGGGTAATTGAAGTGTTGTTTTTTTATAGGCTCTCTATGATTATCAGACCGCGGATCCTCGGCCGTCGAACCAGTATCGTCGCTGCCGGTGGACGGTTTCGGTCATTGCCGGTTTGGACGTTAACAAACTAAGCCTATTGGCCGCAGCGGTTATGCGCTGCATTATGGGGAAAGCGCAATAGCAGCCTCCGTCGCGAGAGCCATGAGATGTGTCAGGACGGAGCTACGTATTGCCCTGACTCAGCCCTTCGACTCAATGTTCTGCTTGGCTGATTCGGGATTCCCATCCCCGCTTTTTCATTCCTGTTTGACGGATCACAGATCCGCTAACTTCGTCGAAGAGAGTGATTCATCGACGATGCGTCTCAAAGAGATCCTACAGCTGCTTGTGTAGCTGTGGTTTGGGCTGACAGACGATCGAGTGCTGCGCCACGAATGCCGTCAGCAGCGTCCGCGGGATGTGGTTGTTAGATAGCGTAAGGTTACTGATGGTTTATGGTGGTGAATGACCCTTACTGACTGACAACTTTTGTCAAAATATTTTGTTTCATCCGATACTGGAATACCTTCGTGGTGCAAGGTATACAGACTATCTGCCAGTTTTCCGCGTTTTCTGGTAAACCGTACATGTGTGCTTTTCTTTGTGTGTGTGCAATAAAGCTGATCTGATGTTCAGCGGCTTATTTCCAGACTACATCTAATTCAACTGGAGTTCCTGTTCGTCGTGATCAGACCACGTTATGGCCTAATGCACATCCACAGAACACCAGCGTCTCGATGGGGTTAGGGCCACCGATAATATGCCCGCTTGTGCTGTGTGCAAATGCGGTTGATGCAGCACATGTGCAAACTGAATCCTGGAAGAAACTGTAAATTTCCCTCGCTGCCCACTGGATCCATCAGAAGTTATAAGTTACTATTGCCATCGAATAAGTAACTTGTTGGTACACAATATCTGACAAGTAGAAGTAGGTAGAAACAACCTAGCCGGCGCATGTGCACCGCCGTTGCTAGGGAATAAATTAGTTTCTGCTTCTGCTCATCATCATCCCGGCTGCTTGCCACTTACCGCAGTGAATCGAATGGTTTATGTGTTGGGAGTTTCTGTTGATAAAACATTTCGCACGCATTATTAAAAGCTGTTGAAAGGCTGATTTGGATAGACTTCGAGCTGCAACGATCGTGCTTCACTAAAAAAGTCGAAAATCGCGTTAGCTTACCTTCAGTAACCAGCTACCGAACAATTGCACCATGCTTATTTTCAAAGAAGACGTCACCGCATGGAACGCCGTAGACGTCCTCGTCGACGGGCTCCTGCAGCATGGCCGCGTCGTCAACGTGGCGGAGGGCGGCCTGATCGTCGATTTCGGCAGTGCGGCACGGCGCGCCGAGTTTGTCCAATACGGGAACATCTTCCATGCGAAGTGTCGGGATTCCTGGAAGGACGACGTGCTGGTTCTGCTGCGATCGCATCCCAACGATGTCTGGAAGTGGTACCCGGGCAAGGTCGTCTCGCTGGGCGACTACGACAACTATGACGGAGCGGAATGCGTGGATGTGCAGCTGCCGCACGGCACCGTCCGGGAGCTAGTGCGCGAGGCGCAGCTGCGCTTGCCGCCCACGGACAAGGATCTGGCGGGGGCGGAGCATGTGAAGCCGGGGGACTTTATTATCCGTTCGTGTCAGCTGCCCGGCGCCAACTGGTCTGGCATGCTCGGGGAGATCTTCAAATGCCAGTTGAATGCGTCCATTCACAATGCCGTGTGTACGTCCCTGCAGGCTGGGTCCTTTCTCTACTTGCAACGCCCGACGGATAGGTTGCTGAAAACTAAGGACATGGTGAGTTCATTTTTTAATCATTATACTGTAGATGTTGCTTGGCGTGCGCGCATTCTGTTAAAAAGCTTTGACTAATTTATATTTAATACTTCCTCATATTATCTAGTTTAGTTTAATATTTTCTCTTCGAAGACGGCCAAAGATTGTTTTTAAATTCTAATTCCCGGCCATATGGAGTATTAATTCCCGGATCGGTTCATTTAAAAAAAAATAAAAATTACAACTCTTTTGATAAATACACTTCTGCGCGTTTAAACCCTTTGCAGTTTTCTTTTATATTTGATTTCCCAACTAGATCTTGCGCCCACAAACCATTTTTATGCCAATTTATTCCAATGGTTTTCTTGTTGAACCCCAAAAAACCATGCAAAGAAAAAACTGTTTGGGAGGCAAAGAAAAACCAAAAGCATGGATTTAACGAGATAATTAAATTTTTTCTCCTCTGGTTTTTAAAACAATGGGTGGGTGGGGTAAAGAAGCTGCGTAAATGCAAGATCATTGCGTTCGGAGCGATACGTTTTGAGCGGAAACGAGAAAAGCAGTCCACCGTGTTTTTGAAGCAGTGAATCATTATTGTATTAACGCGAGGTAATGCTGCCTGTGCGCGCATTAAGCGGTCTGCAACGGTAAGAGGTTGGACGAAGTGTATTACGTACTGCAGTGATTGTGTTTTTCATCAATGTGTACGTAGAAAAACAAAATATACCGTAATTTAACGCGAATCTTTGCGGTACTCTATCTACATTTATAGCACGGTCAGTGCAAGTTAAACTTTCCGGGCATGTGTTTTAACTTGTATCCACAATATCGCACCGTATCCTCCAGATTTTCTATATTTTTAATCACTGCCGTATTCCACCATACTTCTGCAGCATCTTTAACGTATCCTGAATTCTTCCTGTAAGAAACAGTAAAAAATTATCTGTATACTTAAAAGATACTCGCCGGATACAGAAAGTCAAATGATACGCGAAGATACGCTGGGCTACTGCAGTTATTAATAACGCTGAAAACTGTACTCAGCGGAGTACATAAAGGTTACATACAGGATGTTGATTTAATTAATTATGCTAAGCCAGTTTAAACATCCAAAACACAGACAAGCGTCACACTGCATCAAAAGACTGCGGAAACGTGCGGCCGAATCACAGAGAACATTTGATCCAAATTAGCCGAGGCTGGTGTCGTTCCCAGGATGGATGCCGCATTTCCACGTTGAATTTCGATGCTGAACCTCTGGCGCAGATACTCCGTTGCGCGTATCTCGCCCGTTTCCTGCCATATCATCCTGCCTACTTCGCTGAGCAGCCGGGATGCTTCCGGTCCGAGGGGTCCCACTGTCTCCACACCCACCGCACGGAACAGGTAGTCCTGCGTGATGTTCTGGTACTTCGCGGTTTTTTTCCGTTCGGCCTGTGCAGCTGCTGCGCCAGCTTGGGTGGATGTTGCTGCAACATGTGAAAGGGCCATCGTACACACACAAGTTACATCCCATGTTAACATTTTGCCTCGTTCCCAGGGCACTAGGGTGACTCCGTCCGGGCGTAGGCCGTTGATTCGCGATATTCCCAGGGGCTCGAGTTCTGTCTCAATGGTGGCTGAGGCGAATGCTCGTTTAAAGGTGGCGTTTAAGCTACTGTGTCTTGACTTCCGGCCCCGGCTTTTCTTACAGCTCAAGCCATGATAGCCTCGAGCATCCACCCATTCACCGCAAATGCATCGGTGCGGAGTAACGATGGGTGTTCCCAGGCGCAGGCCAACCGCAATTCTTAATGCGGAATCATTCAGGAGGTTTCCCAGTGATGCAGCTGGTAGTGCATCCAGCCGTGCGCCGTTGTCCTTGGTGCTTACACCTAAAAGACGCGCTTGGCTAGAGATATCAGACTGGGCCGTTTCAGAAAGCATCTTCACGGAAGTTTGGATAACTGGTTCATCCCATGTTTTTTGAAATTTTCGCGCTTCCACAGCTGGAAGATCAGCTCCCGCCACTCGCTGCCATTCTGCTTCGGCGCCGCCGCAGTACACTTCCGGGTCGAAGGAGGTAATTTCGGTTGCCAGCCCGGTCACTGAGTAAGCCGAGGCCAAGAAGGCCGGAAGGGCAAACTTCTCCAGACTCCGGATTCCGAGGCCTCCTTCTGCAACCGGAAGTGATGCCTGTGTCCAGTTCGTGTCAGTGATGTTGACGTTGGCAATTGCAGAAAGGCAATCACGGATCATACTGTCGAATTCAGTCAACAACCCTTTCTCTATATAACAACGGGCAGTGCGTAGCTTATAGGTCATTCTTACCGGTCCCATGCTACGTTTCAGTAAAAAAAAAACATACAGGATACTCTGGAATACTGTTGCTTTCGAAGATGATACGCATTCAAATAGCATTTAGTACTGTAGTAGTGTTCTGCACGCATTGCGAACAGTATTTTCTAGCTAGCGAATCTCGCCTTATCCTCACCGTATGCTTCGTGTATCCTGCTGTATCCCGTTAATTTGTTTTAGGCTTTCTAAGCTTTCTTATAGGGTTACATGCTTGTAACACATATGTTATCACACATATGTGTGATACGTAAAAGATACTGCAAAGATACGTAGGTATATTAAGCAAAGATAAGTAAAAAAATGTAAGGATACATTTGGGATACCTAGAGGATACCATGGCATACGGCGGGATACTACAGATGCAAGTACAAAACCATGCCTCGAAAAATTTAACGCGTACGATGTCGTCCATATCTACGTATATCTATAGATTGCATTAAGTCATATACCAGCATAATTCCCTTAAAGTATAACCAGCTCTTCGCTTACAGAAACCCTTGTATGATAGCGCGTGGAAGGAGAACGACCGTGGCTGCTCACTGTCGACACAGGAGTGGATCCGCCGTCACGGCACGCTTAGCACACCACAGGAGAAGCGTACTAGCGGCAAAGGACGAAGCCTGCCGCTGCCCGTTGCACTGCTGGTGGAGGTCTTCCAGTCGTTGGACTCCATCGAGCGCATCCGTTGTCGGCGGGTGTGTTCACTGTGGAACCATCTTCTCACGACCGAAACCAACTTCCCCGATGTGCGCGTCGACGGCCGGCAAGCTAGTTTCTACAATGCGGAATTCAACGGCGCCGATGTGTACTGGGTGGTTAGCTGCTTGCTGAAGTGCCTCAACAGCGCCGCCAAGATGACCGTTATCGTGCAGCTTAAGTCCGCAGACTGTGCTCGTTTGGCCGCTTTGATCCGGCACCTCCTGGGTGAGCAGCGTCTCCCGACGTTGGTGTTCTGCGAGTGTTTATTCGGGGAATCGTACGACGAGACGATGGAGCAGCTCGCGAACGGAGTGGTCGTCATGGCCCAGAGCTTTGTGTCGTACGACCGCATGGTGCTGAAGAACTGTATGGTCTTCGACTGCGTTCTACTGGGAATACTGGTCACGCAGCACTCCTTCCGTATCCAGTCGAGCGAGGCCATGAGAATGGAGGTGTGGGACGTTGTCGAGAACGGTCTCAATGTGCGGGATCGGCAGGCTTTAGTAGAGCGGATTGCTGACGGCTTCAAGAACAAGCGCAATGAGCAGATCGACCGGAACATTGTGAATGTAAGCGTCATCGTGATTAGTTTTATTAGGCAATATGTTGAAAGTCAAAACCCTGCAACGTTGATCCGCTCATATTAAACGGAAAATACTCATTGAAAACCAATTGTCGCAAAAAAGCATGGTTGAGGCATTTCCTTCTAAATGAGGGTAGCAACGCATATGTTTTTAGAACTGATGGTACGGAAATGGTAGTCACAGATAAATGATAGAGTTTAACTGTATCGCTGACGAAAGCGCGACTTGAAAGTTGAAATCAGGCGCACGCAGAAGCAAATGCGGCACTTTGATTTACTGACGCCATCATCACCGTTCGATTTGCAAAACGGTGCCGGCGGTCAAGCTGAGTCGGCCGCCGGCAAAGCCGCGGCTGAAGTCCTCAGTCGTCTTAAAAATCCGACCGGATGTCGGCCAGGTAAAGGCAACTTCGGCCGGCAGGCAAACACCGTGAGCCAGCTGGCCAAATGCGGGCAGTTTGTTACCCATTTAACCGTGTATATCACGGTTCACCGTGTATATCACGTGTATATCACGTAACGGGACGCCTGCGCCGACCCGCGTCAAGTATTTAAAATGAAGGAAATGTGATTAAAGCGCTTGACGTTTAGTACGGTAACGACCAACAGAAAACACCACGACAGCAGAATACGTTGCAGGCGCTCAACTATTACCAGAGTGTGGACCCGCGTCCAGCCACCGAGTACCGCGGTCGGAAGTGGACGGCGGCCAGCATTTCCGATCTGGATGTTAGTAAGCTGACCGCTTTGACGGCAGTCGCTTTTATCCAAAGTATGCGATTCCGGGAAGGTGAATCGGATTTCTAATCGCAGCATAATGCGACACAACACTTTACCGAGTCGTCTGGACCTGTTGGAAACGGATTCGTAAACGAGTACTACCGACCCATCTTATGACACTATCTGTGTGTAACAATATTAATCGTGTTTAATGGCTTCTTTATGATGTTTGTGTAACTGTGCAAGTTTTTACCGTCTACCCAATGCGTGCCTGTTGTGGCTAGCGCATGTCAATCAGGGTGAAAGGTTCACTCATTCGCATTTAACTGCTTAAAGGAAAGGAGTTGTTTGTTCGTACCGGCAAGTTCCGGGATCTACTACTCTGTATACGGTATACTGTATACGGTATACGGTAACAGTATACTGTTATGTTATTCAATGCTAAATTTCAGAAAATGCACAACTCGTCCTAGTAACGATCCCCAGTGCCCCCGTCGCTCATCCGGGGCAAATTTCTGTTTGATTCGACTTAATAGCGCACTCATCTTTCTGAGCTCATGTTGCTTAATCAGCTTGAAGCTATTACAATGCCAGTTTGCGGTTTGCGTAGTTTTATGATGACAGCTTAAGTACTTACTGGGAATTTCTATTTGTAAACGACTGCGGTATACAAATCAAGAAACCGTAACAAGTTAATCAAACAGTTTAAGAAGATCTATCATCACAACAGAAAAAACTCAGTAAACTTTTCAACTCCGTTCATTGTTCCTAAAACTGTATTTCCGTCATGCAGTACGTACTGTATTTCCGTCATGCAAAGAACGTGATGCACAAGGCAGAGGAAACTATCGTAGTGCAAAGCAAAGGGCAGTGTATCCACTAATGGACCTAGTGCGCTCACCGACCGCCCGGTTTTATCTCCATAATAAATGGATACGAGCCCCCATTTGCAGACGTTTTAGAGGCCGCTTTTAAGGCTAAGCAGGACTTGTAGAGTATGTACGACCATCGACGGACATGCGAGGCTCTTTCTTTAACTCATGGACTCACAGTACAAGGCCACGACGGTGATTTTGCAGAATTTGTTCGAGTTTGTTCGACCGACTTCGTCCCAAAGCTCACATGCATTTTTTATACACCAAGAGCCGCATGCATTTTGTGCCGATGGAATTTTTGTTAACAACTTGTTTACAATTAGCGGTCACTAGATAACTGCAAAAGTAATCTTTCTGACCTTGTTTTAATTTACCTGAACATATTTTCAAATTTCAAATATTTCAAAAATTTCAAATATTTCAAATATTTCAAATATTTCAAATATTCACCTTCAAATGCTACTTAATAAATACTTATTTCTAAATATTTCTAAATATTTCGAAATATTTCTAAATATTTCAAAATATTTCAAAATATTTCTAAATATTTCTAAATATTTCTAAATATTTCTAAATATTTCTCAATATTTCAAAATATTTCTAAATATTTCTAAATATTTCTAAATATTTCTAAATATTTCTAAATATTTCTAAATATTTCAAAATATTTCTAAATATTTCAAAATGTTTCTAAATACTTCTAAATATTTCTAAATATTTCTAAATATTTCTAAATATTTCTAAATATTTCTAAATATTTCTAAATATTTCTAAATATTTCTAAATATTTCTAAATATTTCTAAATATTTCTAAATATTTCGAAATATTTCAAAATATTTCAAAATGTTGTTTCTAAATATTTCTAAATATTTCTAAATGTTTCTAAATATTTCTAAATGTTTCTAAATATTTCTAAATATTTCTAAATATTTCTAAATATTTCTAAATATTTCTAAATATTTCTAAATATTTCTAAATATTTCTAAATATTTCTAAATACTAAATATTCCTAAAAATTTCTAAATATTTCTGAATATTTGAGGTCGTTAGCACCTCTGCTTGGTGCGAAAAGCGCAGATATAATAGCGAGGTAAATGAAAGCCTTGGTGGGTTAGAAGTCTAAAAGTGACAAAAAAAAGCACTGAATGTGCAATTGCGCATGGCGACTGCAAAAAACAACTAGAAAACGGCAAAATAACGTAGTATCCTATCGAGGGCGGGTGAATGGGGACGCCGTTACGTACTTCGCCAAGCGCCGCCAGTTTTCCTAACACCCAGTTGTGCACGTCACCCATGGTATTTTTTTACGAATTCATTTTGAACTCTGTTGCAGATGCAGTTAATTTCTGAATGTACAGTACCTCATATGCTAAATTATATATCATGGGGCGTTGTTTTTGTGATTATCCTGGGCCTCGTCCATAAATGCAAGTTGCCACAGCCGTGAGCCAAATCAGGGCTGAGGAGCTATTTGAATCTGTGGCAAACACGAACTTGTAACCACCATGCTCGTTTATGGAGAGGACGAAGAAGCGCGGCGCTTTATGTATAACTCGAACTCCGTGGACGTCCTCGTCGGTGACCGGCTGCAGTACGGCAAGATAATCAAAAAGGTGGAGAACGGTCTGACTATTGATTTCCTATGTGCCACACAACGCTCGCAGTTTGTCGAATACGGACGCGTTTTTAGCTCGTGCGAACCGCCCAAACGTCTCGACACGCGTGCGGACCCAAATATACAGGCTCTGCTGCGATCGGGCCCTGCTGGTCCCTGGACCTGGTACCCGGGCAAGGTGATCTCCTTGCGCAGCGAAGGCTATCTGGTCAATGTGTACCTTGTGGAGGTGCAGCTGCCCCACGGTATCGTTAAGGAGCTCCTGCCCCGGCAGCAAGTGCGACACCCGCCCTCGGACCTGGTCTTGGCTAACTGCAAGTTGCGGGACAAAGATTTTTCGTTTTTTGAATGTCCCGTACCGGAGGGCTGGACCGGCGCATCGCCTGAACGTCGCGAGATTTTTCTCACCAGCCTCTCCCGAATATTTGGAGTGGTGGATACGTCGGTGCTCGACGGGACACTGACTTATCTACAGACAGGCTCCGCGCTCCGTCCCTTTATACTGGTGCGGTGCATAGTAGTCCTAACGGCGCCCTATCGTTTTGGCCACCATTCATTTTGGCCACCATTCATTTTGGCCACCAATAATTTTGGCCACCCGTCATTTCGGCCAACTAACCAGGGAACATTTTCCGCCTCCAAATTCAAAAAATTCTCATGTTTTGTAAAATGGTAGTGTACTATTGTAGTATGCTTAAAAAAATATTTTTAGCTGCCATCGTCAAGGGGGCGTGGCCAGACAACAATTTAAAGTTTGCATACTATCATATGCTGTGTAATGCAATGCAGTACAAGTTATTCGTAATTATTATGTTAACTTTTTCCTGCAGCACCATGGACTTTTGCAGCTGTCCGCTGTCGAGAAATGATGTAAGTAAAATAGGCCCACTTGCGTCGGCTCGGGCCATTGCTGCCCGTGTGCACATTTTCAAAAACTTGTTATGAAGTACAGCACAGATCTGTGTATTAGCAGAACAAAGCTTTTTCACAACTTATTGTTTGCAACACAAATCGATGAAAATATATTCCGAAAATGTATATTCATGCAGCAATGGCCCGAGCCGACGCACGTGGGCCTGTTTTACTTGCATCATTTCACGACAGCGGACAGCTGCAAAAGTCCACGGTGCTGCTGGAAAAAGTCAACATAATATAATTACGAACAACTTGTACTGCACTGCATTACACAGTATAATATGATAGTATGCAAACTTTAAATTGTTGTCTGGCCACGCCCCCTTGACGATGGCAGCTGAAAATATTTTTTAAGCATACTACAATAGTACATTACCATTTTACAAAACATGAGAATTTTTTGAATTTGGAGGCGGAAAATGTTCCCTGGTAAGAAACTTAGAAACCTAAAAACCTACCCGTATGGTCGTTTGAGTGGGCCACCTTAAATATTTTTTTCCCGAAACCGATTTTCTTCCGGTTTTCTTCTTTATCTCCATGCAAGACTTACCCTTCACAGAGTACTTGAAATTTTAAAAAAAGGCTGAGCCGTTCTTTTGCAATTGCGTCGTAAAAAAATCAGTGACGAAAGCGCCTTAGCCACGCCACCGAAGCCACTGCACTACACCAAGAAAAATGTAGCCACTGCCACACATGTGCGGCTGTTGTGACGACACATGCGCACAATGTCGTAACGCTTCAGTTCAACTTACAAAGGTCAATTTTGAAGAAGTAAAGGCATAAATTAAAATAAAATCAAATGAATCTAAACTGAATTCCTCAGCAGCACATTGGCACTACACTAAGAAAAATGCATTCACGATCGCTGAGCTTTATGTTTATGTTTATGTGAAAAAGCCTTATGTTTATGTTTATGTTTATGAGGTATATACCTAACCAACGACCATACGGGTAAGAATCTAAAAAACCTAAGTAAACCTAAGAAACCCTAAGAACCTAAGAAATCTAAGAAAACTAAGAAACCTGGGGTGGCCAGAATGATTGGTGGCCAAAATGTATGGTGGTCAAAATGATTGGTGTCCAAAATGAATGGACACCGGCCTAACTCCTAAAATACACTTAAGTTGCTGTGTAGTCTGTGTTTAAGCAGCTTACAACAATCACATTCACGAATAATTTGTTTTATTTGTTTCCCAGCAAGATTTATTTATTTTATTTGTTATTTTATTTTGTTAGTAATATGCACGAGGCTGTGGACGGGCGCTCAGGATCAGATACCGCTGCTGGTTTTTTGGGACATAGGTTATTATAGATTTCTTGGGTTTTTAGTGGATTTGGAGACGATGTTTTGTTGATCATCAGAATGTCGTCAGTAAAGTGTCTGTGTTCATCAAAATGTCGTTCAGCAAGCTGTCGATCACCGAGTTGTCGTTTCAACAAATTGTCGAGTAAACATTTTGTCGGTCAGCAAAGGGTCGTCAGCAAGCATATTGCCCAGCAAATTGTCGGTGTGCCTCAGCTGCCACAGTAAAGGACAATTCAGTAGCAATAATTCAGAAGCGATCATCACCGAAATATTTCGTCACTGAATGATTTTATTTTTCTAGCAAGAGGTGTTTGACAGATCACACGACCCGATCGTTAAGCCTCTGACTGCAGCTGAAACCGGGGAGAATTCGCACCGGACCAGCGTCTGGTCCGGTGCGTCTGAAGGACCAGGTACAGTAATTCAGTCCTTACCCAGCGAGCTGGTAGTGGAAATCTTCCATTCTCTGGACAGCATCAACCGCGTCCGTTGCCGACGCACATGCTCCCGCTGGAACTCAATTCTCACCACTGAAAGCTACTTCCCTGCTGTCCATGTCTCTGGCCGTGATGACGACACACCGTCGTCCTGCATGCCGCCCGCGTTCTGGATTTTAACGAGTCTCCTGCACTGCGTTAACAGCCGCACGACGACGGTCGTGCTGCTGCACATGGACATGAGCCAATGCCGTGAAGCGGTCACCATGCTCCGCTACCTGAACGGCTACGATCGCCGCATCGAGAGGCTGGCATTTCACTCCTGCCCAATGCAGTACACGAACTGGACTCTGAGCTACCTGCAGCGGATGCTGGGCGTAGCTGAGCGCGCCAGCTTCATCCGCTGTCGCATCGTGGAAATGGTGCTGACCGCTGTTGTGGCGCGACAGTCGGTCATCTGTCAGCCGGATAAGCAGCTTGCTGTGGAGCTGTGGGATCTCTTTGAAGCGAATCTGGTTGTGGACGAACCGGTTGATTTGACAGTCTTGTCGGGGTGGATTGCCGAGTTGATTCAGTCCAATACACTGGACACGCTTGCACGGGTAACACAGGTAACTAAATCCGGTCAGTTGCGTGTCGGGTTTTAAGGCGTGTTTTCTTTACCTTCAAGTGCGCTAACCAACTGCGTGTTTGTAAGTGGGTTAGCGATTCTTCTAAGGGAACTCAACCATCCTTTACGAACGGCTCTACAAGATATAAATACGTTTTTCCTTTAACTTTGTGCTAGTGCTCTATTATCGTTTTTTACATTTTGAAGCAGCTTACTGAAACATTGCTGATATTATGCTGCACACGATTATGACAATAAAAGCAAAAACATGTAAAGCATAATTCGAGCTGTCTGTTTCATATATTTTTGGTTGTTTAATCTCGACAGATGCTCGACCATTACCAGAGCGCGGATCCACGCTGCTCAATACACTATCGCCGCTATTGCTGGTCACCTTCGATTATTCGTAATATGGATGTAAACAAATTGACCAAAATCACCACCCTGGCTCTGTACCATCAAATGAAACGACCATCGCACTGACTGCTCGAGCCACGTCGCCCATAATTTGGCGCTTGCTGTTGTTTAGCGTTCGAAGCGACTCTTTAATTTCACTGCTGTCGGCTGTCGTAAATTATAAAAGCTTATTCTGCTTACATCTAGTTTTTGTAAGTAAAGAAACTTTTGCCTGTCCAATAATCTGTAACAAAGCCTGTTAAGATCAAGGCCGTGATTGAAGTTTTAACATGTAAACATTCAGTGTTTGTCATACAATAAGCTAGATGCTGCGATTTGCTGTTTCTCCCTTCTAATGACAATATTAAAACGATGCTCTTGCAAGGGCTGGGCTAGGCTCGCATAGACACTCGCAAAAAATCTGCCGAATGAGGAAATCGAACCCAGTGGCGGCCCGCCACTATGTATCTTTCGAGTCTCCGGATAATTTTTTTACGTTTCTTCGTGGAATACATTTGGGATGCATAATGAATGCTGAAGAGTACGACCGGATACGGCAATGACTAATAATCATTAAGAATTTGGGAGATCTATTAAGGATACGAAGAGGAGGATACGGTACGATACTTGGATACAAGTCAAGACACATGTAAAAAGTTTCTCTACTTTTATGGCACGGTTAGTAAACCTTAATCTTAATCTAAACGTTAATCTGCATCTTTATATTGTTATGGCACGGTTTAGTACTCGTTGAAATTGTAAAGATACATGAGGAATAGTTAGAGTCAGAGGATACCGTTGGATACTACGAAACAAATAAAAAAAAAAACATCCCACCTGTTTACAGTACGTACTACGTGTAGTCAATATCTCGCGATTATGAATGTCAGACTTATTGTCTTAAGGTTATATGACGTGGTTACCAATTGTCATGGCTTATCCATGTTGCTTGGCTAAGTAATCAGTGTGTTGTTGACGTATAAGCAGAATCTTATTAAACCTTTAAATATTAGCTGCCATAGGTTTTATTCAGATCGGCGGTACAAGGTCATAATTTTTTTATCATAGTAAAGATACTTACCACGTTGATTATACAGCCTCAGCCGACAGGACAATTAGGCGGCCAATTACAGTATGCAAAACATTTCTTCGGGACAGCTACCGGCATGAAAATCAGTGTCCCGCACGCGGCAAATGGCCAAGACGGCGGGTGAGGGCGAGCGGCGCACTCGCTCCGCCGGCCACAGTCACTTGAAGGAGCCGTATGGCAGCTGCACGTCCAGGAAATAAACATATCTGTTGGTGCAGGCCCCGAAACGTAAGCTGTCTTTCCGGGGTCCCTTGGGCCAACACGAGACAGGACCTGCACATTACAGTCCCGGTCGGTATAAGAAGATCTCCAATGGTGGAACATGTGCATACGATCGATAAGCTATGACCGCGGCCCCGCAAAGCCAAAATCGTTGACCAGACCGTTGAGATGTCGGCATCCTGGACTGCACTTTAGACCAGCCGGTGTAGATCGGACACCTGCGCTGCCTGTGCGAAAGAACCATTTACGGCGTGTGTGATTAGTGGAGGATTGTCTGTGTACTGCGCCTTGTTTATAAGTATGTTAAAGATGCTACGCTTTGCTGTGTATAATAGTGTCACATGGGATTTATTAACTTATTTAATTATACTAGTTTGTTTCACTTATATATATATATATATATATATATATATATATATAAAAAAATAAATTATATATATATAAAAAAAATGAAAAATAAATTAGACCTAGCAAGAAATGCGAGTTCTGTATCGTAACGGAGCCAGGAGAGTTCCTTTTAGATACAGAACACCAATCAGCAGCCGGTCGCCCAGTCAGCAGTAAGAGGGTGTGATCGAAACGTTACAGAACTTCCGGCTCTATATCGTACAGAACGCATAATTATAAAGTGCCTTTCGAGTACAGCTACTCGTATTATGGATTTATCAAGGTCATTCTCCACTTTGTTAATTATCTTACCCAGCCGGCCGTGGACTAGCTCGTCCACAGCCATCACTCTTAAGGAATAAAGGAATATTAATGCTGTAGTTAAAGATTTAAGAACCGTTTGGCAAAATTCACAGAAGATCGAAATCGCTAGTGTTACACAAGAACAGTAAAACACTGTTCACAGCTTTTCTCTGACAATGACATCATTTGCCTGATGTCATAGGCTCTGGCATCATCGCTACTCGTAGCACTGCATTAGAAACCAGTCAAACTCCAACTGCCGAAACTACAACAAGGATTACGGCAACAGATTTCATTATAGGCTACCCAAACGTAGTCGTCATCATGGGCGGCCGTTCTGTACACTTCTCCTTTGGCCCGAAAATCCCAAGTGTGTTTTCAGCGTTCAACAATCGCAAAATTTTACCGTAAAAAAAGATTTTAGATTCTGTCGAGCCATGGTCTTGATTTCTGAGTCCCAATGTTGAAACTAGATAAATGAATGTTTTATGCATAGGCATTTTAATAACGTACACAATTCGATTCTCCTCAAAAACTGTAGCCAATAAACGCAGAAGCCTCTCCTGGCATTTTACTATACATATAGTGATTGTAGTCTTACTCTCATCTATGATCTATGGCCTATGCTGCTTTATTCCTGCAATCGCATATCTCGAAAACTGCTGAGCAGTCGCTGTCAGCACGAACTGTACAATGTTGATTTATGGGGAAGCCGAGTCACTGCAAGCGTGGAACTCTGTGGACGTCCACGACGTCAACAGCCGCTGGCTGCAGAACGGCCGCGTGATCAATGTGGCGAAGGGGGGTCTGATCGTGGATTTCGAATGTGCGACACAGCGCGCACAGTTTGTCGAATACGGGTGTATGACGCGCTGCCGGTACCTCTCGTACACAGAAAGCTTCGGACCGCCGGAGGTGTTGGTGCTGCTGCGACGACAGCCCGACCGGGCGTGGGTGTGGTATCCGGGGAAGTTAGTCGGGCTGGGAGAGTGCTGCCCGACGGGTTGGCAGTGCGTGGACGTGTCCATGCCACAGGGGACCGTCAGAGAACTGGTTCCACAAGTCCGTCCTGTCCTCATGGAGGATGATCTGCAGGGGTTGCGCGTGGTTAAGGGTGATTTCGTGATCCGCAGCTGTCCGCTGCCGCGCTCCTTCTGGTGCGACGGTTCCCAGTTGGTCCAGGAGATCTTTAAGTGCAATTTGAGCCTACGGCACGATGTCTGGTGCACGGTGGTGCTCAGCCAGACGCTTCTCTATCTGCAGTGGCGGGGCGACAATCCGTTGACGCGTGAACAAGTCGTAAGTAGCACAATGTCTGGCTTTTACTGGCTCGACAGTCTGCAAAACTTTCCTGTAAAAACAACTGATATTAATTCTGATTATTGAATTAAATGAATAAATGCTAAATTTTTATTTCTAGTGAAGGAAAATGGCCCGGTACATGGTGTCAAAAATGGGATACATACACTTACACTAAAACTTCCGCTTTCGCGCACTCCGAACCACTTTTTTCTGGTACTTAATGCATGCTATTTAATCCTTAAGTTTGAATTTTCTGCTTTTTATACCCTTTTTGTTGAGTGTTAAGCGATAATACGCAGCTACAAACTTACAGAGTACCTTTTAATACACAATATTTAAAAAAAACTTTATGAGAACACGCATGAGTCGTTCCACTTGCTTTCTGTTTCAAACTTTCAGCGTTTAAGTCTGGAGATTATGCGTGGTGATGCTATGAGTATATTGTGCACAGTCCCTTTTCATGTTAATTGGGACAAATTCTGTATCTGATTGTATATACTAATACTGATAGGTGCTCGTTGATGTGCAAATGTGCATATTGAAAAATAAATTTTACATATTTACAGAAACGAGAGTACAAGACATCGAAGATCGATGGAATAGCTGAATTTTCATTGCGGACAGCTCGATGGTTGCACCGTCATACGACTCTTTACACACGCGACAAGGAACGCAAGATCGGGAGCAACAAGAATGCAGCGAGCCTGCTGTTGCCACCCGATCGAGATTATGGTACAGATTCTCCAGCCCCTGGACTCCGTCGAGCGCAGCCGCTGTTGACGGGTGTGCCCAATGTTCGACAGCCTCCTCACCAGCGCCATCCACTTTCCCGACGTGCACGTCACCGGCCGGTCGGTGGATCCTGACCGGGCGCTCTTGAGCGGCCTGTACTGGACGGTGGCCTGCTTACTGAAATGGCTTAGCCAGGACACCAGCACGCTGATCATCACCGGGCTGGGCGTGCGGGACAGCCGGCGCATGATGTCGCTTATCCGCTATAGTCTACCGGCTCCACGCATTGGTTGGCTGGTGTTCGACGATTGCCGGTTTTTCATGGATTATGTCGATGAGGGCCAGCATGAGGCTGATGGCGCCATCGAAGACGATGACAGTCTGGCCGGGGATTTAGCCTTGTGTGACCGGATGGTGTGGAAGAACTGCCACATCTCGGACGATTATTTGCAAGCATTTGTAGCGCGGCATGTGTTCGAGGCTCCGTCGCGGCAAGAGCTGGATCGTGAACTGTGGGATGTGTTTGAGAAGAGTCTCGTTCTCCCGGAGCCGGTCAATTTGCCGGCTTTGTCCCTGTGGGTTGCTGGTCGTGTTGCTGACCACCAGAAACAGCAGATAGCAATGGTAAATTAAATTCTTCCATGAATTATTATGATAAAAAAATTAATTCCATTGATAAATTCTGCAGTTTTCCGTAACAATATTTGGCGTGCACCAGCTATGCGAAATGCACTTCAGGAAAATAGCCCGGTATATATTGTCACAAATGGATTACATACACTCAAACTTTCGCTTTCCTTTTTATGTCATTTTATAGCCAATTGATTTGTACAATGTTCTGAAAGCCCTTATCTCGGCATCCGAATGTTGCGCGCGCAGTCTACTTTATGGCCTTATCACCTTTATGTCCTTTACATCCAAGTTTCAAGAAGATCAAGTAATTAATAACCAGAGGTATGGTACACAACGATGCATTTATACCTTTTTCGCCCATTTTAGTTCGCCATATCTCGGCAACCGGATGATGCGCGCGCAAACGGTTTTCAGAACAAGACTCCATACAATAAGCTGGTAAACAGTAGGTATCCTTATTACTTTTACGTCGCGACATTACAGTCATGAGTCAAATCACTACGGCCATCATTACCCACTCAAGAATTAAAAAAGAACAATGTATACTAGGAAAGTGCACTCGCTTTTAGCGGGCACTGCATGACCGAAGCGTAGCGGGATCATATAGCGGGAACAGGGCTTAGTGCTGACGGTAGCGCGATTTTAGGAAGTTTTTACACACCGGATTTATATCATAGAATTCTTTATTTTTTCGCAATAGGCAAATTTAGACAGGCAATCGGCAGAAAATGGAAAAACATTTATCGTAATTGTCTGAAACGGTTCATTTCGCGCGCTTTTTGCACAGTAGCTTTTCTTGTTTTGATGGACTGGAGTAAGCTAAAGGAAAACATAGGTTCAATTGCAAGTCCTTTCCATGACTTAACACGTGAAAATCCCACATAAATAAGGCCGGACGCGAATTCGCGGGCTCCAAGGTGCTTGGTTACAAGTTATGCCTTGAGCTTTATGAATGGTGATAGCCCAAGCGAGGCATAAAGGCAGCTGTGTTATTGCGCACTTCTCCGATTTTTCCGTCCAATGCGTTGCTGTTGGCGTTATTGGAATACAGTTATTCGCTAACGTCGGACCAGTATATTTGTCAAACTCAACCAGTACAGCATATGGTAGACTGTCCGTCGGGGATGTGCCAGGGGAATATACAATTTCTCTTATATAACCCACCGCTCCGTTAACGAGCCCTTTACTTGTCCACAAATTTCGTTTAAGCATGACCCGGCTACCGCGAGAAAGGTATAAAACCGGTTTGAGACCCATAGCTTGTTCTTCGGTTCCTACAAAAAATTAACTGATAAAAACACCAACGTTAGATATATCCTTAGAATAACATTTGGAAGCAGTGCGGCCGTTATGTTCTGCCATAATTCTTGCGACCGGCATGTTCAGCTGTCTTAAAGCGTTCGTGTTGTAATTTCGTGCGGGTTCTTTTTCCGAAAAAAGATGCAATGCTCCCTTGAAATCTGTTTTCTCGTTCTCTGACAGTAGCGCGTACGTTCGGTTGACAAACTTTTCATAGTCCTCGGTTGTAGAGTCGCCAGTTGCGATGCGATCTAAAGCATCCCTTAGGGCTTGTTGATCGGGGTCCGATCCGGTCTGACGATGTGATGAATTAAGGATGAAACATTTGGTGAATGCGTTTCGAAAAACAAGCTGTCCTTGATCGGATAAATCGCTTGCAAAACCATCACCATATAGCGGTCTGTCCAGTACAGGCGGCAACTGGTTGATGTCTCCGAAAAAATAGACATACATGCCACCAAATGGGAGATCGCATGATTCAGGCTTGGCTTGGCGGCATCTTTGATCCATCTTAGCGAGCAAGGTACACCCTATCATGCTGAACTCATCCACAATAATGCACCGAATATTCTCGAAATCGGACTGGAATCTTGCGAGTTCTTCGTTTGCCAGAGGTACAAACTTCCTGTTAACCGGAATCCTTAGAAGAGTGTGTACTGTCATTCCTTCACTGTTATTGGCTGCCATGCCAGTTGGGGCTACAAGCCGCTACGATTGCTCACCGAATCCAGGTTTGCTCTCCAGCTTTGCTCAAGAAGGAAATAAGTGTGGATTTTCCACTTCCCGCTTTTCCCTGTATGACTGTACAGCGATGTGGAGTAGTGCCATTAAGCTGTTCGTCGAAATAAGCGTTGACTTCCTCTTGTTCACCGGCAAGAGTGACGTTGGGCAACGTCACCGGTTCGTTAACTTCGTCTGCATCTGTTTTAGCCCGTTCAATGAAACTGTCGGCTTCCGCAATATTTGGGTATTGTTGGTAAGCCGCCTGCCAGTCAAACAGTACATCAATTTGACGGGTACCCAGCTCGATAACTGGCGGTGCATCATGCGGACCATGGCCGTGCAGAACCATATACTCATCTTGGTCCCGATTGTTTGGAGCTTCCGCTTCCTCATCCGAACTATCAGGTACTTCGGCCTCTGGTAAATCGTTTTCATGGGCTGGAAGCGCGAGCGCGTTATACGCTTGTTCCCAACTTTGTCCTTCTGCCAGGGCAGTGTTAATGTCACGCCACGGAGAGTGTAGCAACACTTGCTGGCGATAGTACTCTTCATTTTTCGTTGCATCTGCCGATAACGCTAAGATGGGAAATACTCGTACAACAGCTTCCTTATTTCGAGCTCTTTTTTTCCAGCCATTTTTTGACCAGACAAAATTAGACGCGACTTCCATCAGGCTGGAATGTTCGAGATCCAGTGCTCTGTTTTTATATTTGCTAAGGATGGTTTTGGTAGATGGGGCATCTGCATCTGGCTGCTCTGCATCGTCGGCAAGTGGAATCCATTCGTCGCTTCTGATAGTAATATTTACAAAAGGGCGGGAACTTCTGTACAGGTCGAATGGACTGCAGCTGGTGGTGCGCTCATATACGGGTTTGTAGCAGTGATCAAACCATCGAAATATTCGATTATTCGTTGTCTTCCCTGATTATCCAAGATATCAAAGTTCACCTCGGTGGGCACATCTTCTAACCACAGCAGTCCATGAAGGTTCAGCTCTTGTAAACGTTCAGCTCTTTGTTCAGATGTCTGACCTTGGCGTGCACGTCTGTGAGCCTCTCTATCCCGCCGTTGTTCCTCTGCGCGTTCTGAAAGCCTCTGTTCTCGCCGGCGCGCCATTCGTTCCCGATTTATCGATCTTAAAGTGCGCCCTGCTTGTAATGGCATATTTTGTGTTCGCCGACGAGCAGCAGCCTCTCTGTCCCTCCTCTGTTTGCTTCGGAGTTGGGCAGAGGTCATTGCAGCTCTTCTTCGAGCTTGATTGGCCCTATTGTGCGCACGGGTCTGTTCGGCTTGTTCATGAGACTGCCGCCGCTGACGTTTCCTAGGTGGGGACGGTGAAGGTGACGACGATTCGCTATTCGTCCCTGCAGCACAATTATGATCTATATTGTGGATTTTTCTTAAGTGTGACACGGCATTTTCACCTTGCTACGGACAATTAGTACTCACGGTTTGTTATTTCCTCCTTTCTGGGCCTTTTGCGGTTGCCGGGTACGGGCGCCTTCACAGCAGGTTTGCGGGCCATCAAAAATTTCGGGTAAGCGAGCTAATCGGCTTACCGGCAAGTTTGACGGCTATTTACGCATGATATACAGTGACCTTTGTAACAATTTAATTTACAGTATATGACATTACACGACTAATGTCAATAAATAAAGCACTGAAACCATGGAAATAATATTCAGTATTATTAAATGGACAATACTTACACAACGTTGTACATACTTATATTGTACATACTTATTGTTGCACATTGTACATACTTATACAATGTCATGTGGTCAACGCGGTTCAGCAATCGGCGACTCACAGACAACGCATAACGATAGAGTTCCGCCATGGCGGTGACCGACGCACAGACACCACGGTTTCTTTGTGGTGTGAGTATATACGGCCATGTGTGAAACGCACGTACTGGGCGCCATGGTGGTGACCGACGCACAGACACCACAGTTTCCATGTGGCGTGAATATATACGGCCATGTAAGGAACACACGTACTGGGCGCCCAACGAATGGGTTACGCAATGGCGGTGACCGACGCACAGACACCACTTTTTTATTTTCCTTGAACATAGAAGATCTTCGCTACGCTTCGGTCGACAAATCATTTAGCTTTAGAATGACATAAAGTATTGCAAAAAAGTGATTCAGAGTGTGCGAAAGCATAAGTGTTACTGTATGTATCCCATTCTTGACACCATGTACCGGGCCATTTTTTAAGGCGTGTGACGTGAAGGGCCGCGCTATGAAACTTAGCGTAACCCATGAATCTTTATTTCTCGCTGCATCTTTACGTAAGAGATTAATCACGGGATAAAAGTAATAAGTAGCGGGTTCCTACAGGTCCTGGACTTATACCAGAGCGCGGATCCGCGCCTGTCCACGGCTTACCGCGGGCGGCAGTGGATGCTGTCCGATATTTGCGATCTGGATGTCAGCAGGCTGACCACGTTGACTGTGGCTGTTTTGAACGTCATTAGACCAGTCTACATCACCTGAAAACTGAGGAGAAAACATTGGCTTCTTTCGGACTTCAGATTGTACTATTGTGTAAGCACGTTCCTCTTACCTAGCTATTTGGCTACAATAATGTGCAACATCATCGGATTCTGCTTATTTTTATCGTATTCTGTCTAATGTATAGTGAATCAATGACCTCTTTGTTCTGATGGCTTTGTGCATGACGTGGCCTTGTGGCGTATTAGTGTACAGTAGAGAGTGAACACGTATAGCAATAATTGTGTGACGTGATGTATTTCTAGTTTAAGTATTACCGGTGTTTAGAAGAGTGGTTTGACTTGACTGACCTAGTGCATTTCATGTTCTTTCCCTATTAATAACATTTATATGAAACGACAGTTTTATATGTTTCGGATGAGTGATTCACAAAAAACCGCATGTGATACACAGGTTTGCATGTCGGTTCATGCAAATCGCTTTCAGCACTGACTGATAACGCCTAGATAGTTATAAGTTTATCTCGTTCATCATGAATATTGTCGTGATTCGGCAAATTTCGTTCGAAAAATACTAAAATAATTTTAGCTAGCAAATTCATCTTAAGCTTCTACAGATACACTTAAACTTACAAAGTTAATTAATCTTGTTGAAGATGTACGAGCATCATTTGCACAAGTAAATGTGTATACGTAAAAGCTAGGTTAATTGCGATATTTGGACCGTATTACTAGAAAAATTTGTATTACACCTTGAAACATTTGGCATTCTTGTTTTTAATGCGCAGTACTCTGTAATTGATTACCGAATGTGCGCTTAACTGTAATTATGCATAAGCGCAAATCACCTTATTTTTTTCTCTGCATGCTAGCCAGAATCTTAGGCAAAGATGTAATTATAATATATTTTATTGCACTCCAGAAAACTCCCGGTAGCAACGGTAGCGCCAAATTAAATATTACTTAAATTTAATCTCCTTCAGACTCAGAGAAAGAGACAGAGTGCGCATAACAACAGCGATATCGCTAGCTGACTTGTTTTTGTAGCAGGTAAATATTTAAAATTTACGGGGTAATAAGACACTGTAAGTGCGACAGTCGGCAGACGAAATTTTTCATTAGCGCCACGAAATGTTAATCGGTAACGTTAATTACTGAATATTGTACTACTTCTTAGAATTCTGCACCCATTGAAACGGTCCGCTTTTGTATGCAGTATTTCAAACTAGCACAATCAATCTAACACAAACGCCTGATTATCTGATAGTTTGCCGGTGGTAAAGCTAAATTCATCTATATTCATCTATACAATAAACCTCTCTATAATATAACATCATATACATTGTCCATATTATACATAAAGATAAATGAACACCGCGCTAGTATTTGGCGTGTTTCTACCTGTATATTCATTAATCGTTATGGTCAGTCAACAGAAGATATTCAACGGTTCATAGCTGAAAACACATAGCAAAGGGGCACGTACGCGTACATCACTGATGTCAAAAAAAGTCTTTTATCAGGATTTCGCACAGAGTCGCATCCCAACGGCTGCGTGTACCATGCAGTTCCATTGCGGGTGCAGCACTTAACTTGTTAAGGCCGCCTCATAGTTCACCGAAAACGGCAGTTTCGACTAAAAGGTGTCCAAACTTCGAATAACTATCAGGACACCATTCCCCGACTCTCCGTCCCATTTTTACGGATGACTATGAGGGAACATGATCGTGTTGAAACCGAGTCGTCGAAATTCGTGATTTCGACTTGTTCGGTGTAGGAGAGGATGGCTCCTCCCTAATACAGTCTCCGTTTGCTTTCGCCCAATCATACATACGTTTGCCCAAGTGGCCACTGCCCACCGGGACGCCCAGATACTCTTATGTACCTGTATATTATGTACCTGTACATATGTACAATACATCTTGCATATAATTTGTACCGACTAATTATCACATAATGCACATGTGACACAACCCGTTTTTGTTAATAGACATTTTAATTACTAAAATAATTATAATCTGTACGTATATTTTTCCATATCTGTAAGTCAGTATAAGTATACATGATTTTCCGTTTGTGAGCCATTTGGAAAGTTTTACGTAAGTTTTACATCTTGTTACGGACATGCGGCATATAACCGGACGCAGTCATTGCCGGCGAGATAAACAGCCGTCTTACGGCCGAACATATGGCCAGTGTCCATCATCAGCAGCAATTAACGTTTATATTTAGTAACGTGTATCGAGTAAACAGTGGTGTTGTGCCTTATGGATAATGTGCTGGTAATTATCGTGTTGTCTTATCAATCATAAGCATATGGGCTATTAAGGAAGATGTACGTACTGTCCGTTGTCCACTCTGTGTGTATGTGCGACTGCAAAACATGGCAATTATGAATGCGTGCACTTGACCTAGTATATTTAAACGCAGTGTGAGTGTGCATTGGGATTTGAATTGGTTTTGGTTTCTCTCAGTCCGTTTCTGAGTTGTTCTGTACTTGTGAATTAAAGTTAAAATACCAACTTTAACATTGGCGTTTAACTGCTGCGTAAAGTCTGCAGCGATACGTAGTAGTGGAGCGCTTTAATGTATCATTTGGTGCCGAAACCATTTAAACACGGGATCTGGATCATCGTGACGGGATCGGAAGGGATATTGCCAATGATGCATCTTCAGCGAAGGATGCGACTGTGGACTGTCAGAACCAGGAGTGTTGACCCGGCAACCAAGCGGAGCGCGCGCAACGGAATAACGCGCATAGTGGAAAAGCGTTTGTTTAGCAGACGAGAGAGTCTAAAAAGTCATCGCTCCGTCCAAGTAAGAAGGTTGACCTTTGCTTTGTGGATACAAGACGAAGTTGGAACGGTTATGCCGCATAGTCCACGCCAATGATTTTGTAAATGGCGCGATAAAGTCGCTGACCTGCGGGAATTTGGATGTTCTGTCCAGCGCAGTAGCCTTTATATGGGCATTGTGCCGAGGCGAGGGCTGGAGGGAACCAGTAGTTTGTCGGACATCCCTGAAGAGGATGAGTTCCGTTACCGTCTCGATGAATGTGTCGCGTTTGGCAGCCAGAGAGGGCGTTTGCAACGGACACCGGAAGCCCGACTACAGGTTGCTGCAGCTGTGAAGACTGATGGATGGCCCGATGGTTTTGCCTTCGAGGAGTTTGTAAGCGCGGATAGGATGAGCGGATTTATCACAGAGCACATCAGAAAGGTCACCGAGAGATACAATAACAATGAAGGTTGCCTACTTTTTCCCCCCGCCGTACGTCTTGGTTTGGAGGGCCAAACCCTTTAAGAAGGGAGGAATGTTACCAGCCACACCGCCCCATGTGAGCTATTTTAAGATACAGCCTGGCGTAAACAAGATCATTAGCCACAAAGAGAACTGAGAGAATATCAGTTAGTTCTATATTTGGGCATAAGTTGAGAAGACCTGAATTGACAGATTTCCAGTCTTCTCTGTATCTCTTGTTATGTCGTTTTAATGTTGTTATTGAGTAATCTGAGTTTCTAGAAGTTTCTTAATGTGGATGTTTACCCGAATTTGGCTATATAAGCGCCAAGCTTGCCAATGCTAGAGGGGTCCACTCTGGTTTAGTCCACTGGAAGTCATCTAGCAGTCACTTGAATTGTGTTTCGTAAATAAAGTCTCAGAATCCACGTTGGGATTTCTACGTTAAACTTAGCTACGTACAGTGCCTGGGGCAGCACATAACGCTAGTGGAGTTTTTAACGTAACAATCTGCTTACTAAATTGTGGCAAAATGCCTCGTAAATCATTAGTAGTACAAAAAAATTAATGCCGAATAAACTCGGAATTCAGAGCAGCTGTGTGAAGTATTGCAAGGGCATTTGGGATACCAATAAATATGGAAAGCTACTAATGAGGTATTTTGTGCCAAAAAATGCCGTGGAGTGAGTAGATTGCCAAATCAAAAATTTACGAAAAATTTAGGTTCTCAAATGACAAATTAGGCAGTAAGTACATAATTACTTGTTGCAATGTTGTTTGATCTATTGCAAAGCCTTTTTTCACTCATGCTACTGGTAATCGACATGCACTGTATTGCACTGTAATACCGAATAATACTCGGCTTGCCATAAGCCTAATGTTGGCTTGCCATAATGCAGCAATCAACCGCCCTGGGCGGTGACTTCCTACCGTTGCAGCGGGCGGTTGCCTACTTCCTGTCAAAATGGTGTCACTAATATTGCCGAAGGACGGACAACTATGAGGAATACATATTTCGATCACCACGACGGGACGGTGAGTCGGAGTGACCGTGTCGTCGGAAATCCGTGACCACGGAAACTCCGTCGACGCCGGGAGCTCGAGAAACTTTTTCTCCGTTTCAGAAAACGGTTGACTATGGGGCCGCCTTTAGTGAATGCGCTCGATAAAACTTGATGTTTCAGTCGAGCGCAATCTTCGTACCGCGCTGCACCAACACTGAAATTCTTGATTTCCCTATGTTTTCCAATGCTACTATTTATCCAACAGGCGGCAAGTAAATTAACTGATGGTATTTATTGGGATGTATGTGTATAAACTGACAGCATCCAAGTCTATCCTTGACTCTTTCAGGCAAAAAATGATTTACATCGTCTGGCCAGTGCAGCCGTATCTTATTACAAATTAATACCTATTTCTTTGTTGTGGGAAGTAGCGATTGCGAATCGTTGTACTAAAAATTGCGCACAGTGTACCGGTATTCTCTGACTGTATAACAATCGAACTGGACGCTCAGTGCTATCGAGCGAGGTTGGTGTGGATGGTTTGGTGATATACAGAAACTGGCAGTTGTCCACCGAGGAGGAAAAATACATTTTCCAGAAGAAAAGATATGCAAAGTTGGATTACTGACATGTTCGTTGCCGGTATAATTTCTATCAGTTGAAAACTTTTGCATACACTCATGCCCAACAACTACTCCTGAATCTAAACCGTCAATATAAATTCCTGTTGATTGAATACGAAAAATGGCAACGTACATAAAAGGGTCTTCAAATGACTAATCAGTACTGCACTACAAAGTACAAAAATTTAGGAGACGGACGCAAAGGGTCTGTAGAGAAAAAAGCAGTATTTTTACCAAGGTATTTTTGCCGGGTTACGACAAAATAATTCCAGGACAATTTTGTCTTTTTCAGGACAAAAAAACACTGATTTAAGGGTGATTGTGATCCATACGTTTCCCATATGAGTAAACGTCTAAATCAATGTACCGATATTACTATGATTCATATACTTCTTATTGATGGGGTTTCATGGATGAGGATCGGTGAGACTTGTAAGCGTGCCCGTTTAAGGGTTTGCTTAATAAAGGAAGCCAATGCAGGCATCAGCATGAACTAACAAATTAACTGGAATCGAAAACTTCGAATAAAGAGTGCCGGCTGTGGATGTTTCTGGCTGCATCGTCAATCTTATTCGACAAAATTAATGTTATGAAATTTCCAACTAGACGTTGCACAGCCATGTGTCTTGCACGCGCCAGCCAGTTCAGCGGAACCCATAAGGACATAACCGTAGCACAGTTGGCTGAAGACGTAAGCGCCGGAAGTGCACTTTCATTGAACATTTCGTCAGTGTGTTTAGTTTCGTGCAATGTACAATTATTTATTTCTAGATTCTTCAAACAAAATTCAACTAAGGTAACGAATGCCGGGTGATGGGGGCAGTTACAGTATGTGCGTCACCAGTCCAAAGACAAACCGGAAGTACGAATACGAATATATTGAACAAGCATTTTGCAACTTGAATTTGTTGACCGATATTCCAACTTCACTCGACAACAAAATTAATGACTGATGCCGTCATTCTCAGCCGAGTTTTTTTTGCAAAAGGATTTTTCAAATTTACGTTTTAAAGTAATGTATTCAGGTGTCACATGTATTGTAGTGCTTAAGTGCTACCAGCTGCAGTACCTATATCATATGAATATATACACTGCAATATGGCTCAAGTAAGGCACTATTAAGGGCGGTAGTCACGCTGCGTGACTCACGCATACTTTAGTTTTACACTGAATACGATTACGCTCACATATATACGCTTGAATCGGCAGGCTGTGTATTCGGCAGGCTGTGTGTGTTGTTGACTACAAGCTGACAAGTATTTTTCATTTTTGACACTGCATAACTTTTATTGTACCTTTCTTTTATCAAGAATTGTTTTGCTGAATGTGTGGGTTATTATTTTGTGTTATTTTTCTGTAGGCGTAGCTATTCATCGAACCAGAATCGCGCCACAGGACTGATTCGGATTCTCGGGCAAAACGGGGTTACTAGTACTTATAGTTGCAACTAACGGTTATACCTTGTAAGGCTAGAGTAAAGATTTGAGATTACACTCGCTAGCATGCAGGTTCACGGAGAAATTGGCCAGCCGGTGACTGCGTGGAACGCCGTCGACGTCCTGGTCAACGGCCGGTGGCAGCACGGCTATATAGTGAACGTCGCCGAGAAGGGACTGATCATAAATTTCGGATGCGACTCGCAGCGCGCCCAGTTCATCGAATACGGAGCCGTCTTCCGTTCGCAGGGTGACCGTCGTTCGTTGCTGAAATATTCCCCTATAGACGTTGACGTGCAGACGCTTCTGCGGGAGGGCTACGACTGCCCCTGGAAATGGTACCCCGGGAGGATACTGTTGCTGGGAAGAGTCGAACACATTGCCGTGGGGTGGATCGTGGAGGCGCAGCTCCCTCACGGCGCCGTCCAGGAGCTGCTGTTCCTGGACCAAGTACGCCGCACGCCCTCGGACACCCACTGGGCCCGTTGCGGTGTGGCAGAGGATGACTTCGTTGTCCGCTCGGGCCTTTGCCGGCCGACTGGTCCAGTCGCTCTACGGTTTTCCAGGAGATCGATAAAGTGAGATCGCAAATACGCTGCACGGCAGTGCGTGACGGGATGCTGTATTACGTGCAGTGCTCCAGCCATCCGGCGCGGTCTCCGCGTGTTCTGGTAGGTCAAAAAATTAAGTGTGTGCCGCATGTGTCATCAAGAAGGCAAACGCATTTATTTTTTAAGAGTATATCGCAATTCAGTTTCTAGAATAGTATTACGCGAACGCACTTTTTTTTTATATTGATGGCGTTTTTCCCGATAAAGATGATTTCTACAGCAGGAGTAGAGACGCTACGTACCACTGAGTGTTTTATAACTGGCGTGGGCGGGGGAATTAAGGAGTGAGCAGTGGCAAAATAAGTTCTTGTGAAAACTGTCAGAAATATTTAATTAATGTTTAATTTATTCCTTCGGGTTCAACAACAATGATTATACTACGGTTACAAATCCCAAAGACAGTCAAAACCAATCCCTTCCTCAGATTTACTTCTGCGCCGGTCCGCCGCCGGACAAAGAGTCCAAAACTGTGGCAAGTGACTGGCAACATTTTCTCTCGTTATCGCTGAATTACCGTACATTTAGTAGAAGCGGTAATTGGTAAATAAAGTGCTTCAAATTTTATGTACAGCACGGTGCCAAGTCAAAAATTACTTGAAATGGGCATTTTAGCGCGGAGCCGATGTCGGTCAAAATTCTTTTTATTCGTATACACAAGACGTTTTTTTGCTATTCCAAATAATTAACCTGTGATAAATAATTAACCTGTGATTTTTAATTTTACTACTGCTCGGCGTGCTCGCTACACCGTAATTTTATAAATATTTTTTTATCTGCCCCTTGTCGTTTATTTTTTGGATGCTTTCAGTTAGGATATAATAACGATGGAATAAAATTGTGGGAGTGCCTGCATCTGTCTTGGCGTAGTGCAGCGGCTTCGGTGGCGTGGCTATATGGCTCTCCATATTGACTTCTTTTCAACGCAATTGTAAAAGAAGCGGCAGATACTTTTTAAAAAATTGAATGCAAATGCAAATATATTATATACGCTAAGGGAAAGTTGATACTGTGCTTCCGGACATTACTATCCGGTGAAGAGCTTATAGTTATCAAGCATGCCGTGTGTACTATTCAGAAGGTGCTGATGATGCAAAAACCATGCCTTTTTTGTGACTGAATGGTGTCTGTACCACGCAAGATAAACTCATCGACTTTTAAATTTCTAATGTATTGTTCTCTGCATGTCCAAGCACTATTGAGTCCATATCCAAGTAAATACTGATTTATTAAATTTCGATAATTTATGAAGGTTCATGGAATGAATTCCTACAGTTAATACATCTTTGCTCCCGGTACGACCTCTGTTTTTGCAGGCGTTAAACGAGCGTGTGCTTCAATTGCCAAAGAACGCCGTGGAAGAGGAATCCGCCATACTTCGATAGCATAGCGTTTATAACACACTTGCATCTGAATAATTTCTGAGTCATCCCGGTTGTACGCCGTCGCTTATCCAACCCGGTTTAATAACGGCTCCCTCACAACCAGGTGAATAGCGATATTAACGATTACGCATCCGGGAGCTTGCCATTGTCCCACCTGATCGCTTCATTAGCGCTCTATAATCTAAATGCATTACGGCAAAAAGTGAGTTTATAGCAGTAAGAGGATGTGTACGTAATTCTGTTCTGCGACTATCAGCTGCTACCTCTCGAGTGACTCGCAAGTGGCATCCCCGCATCCATAAGCTCTTTCCCGGATCAACGTGACACCAGGACTTTCTATTTTCATTCTTTCTGGAGTACGCTGCTGATATGTTACGCAATACTGCAACGGGAAAAAAGTACTATTTAAAATGTTTGTAATCGGCTCCTTACAGTAGTTCTCAAGTTAACATTCAGCTTTTCATTGTGATGGCAAACGAAACGGGTTTCAACAATTCCAACGCGACAGGCGGCAACGACACCGCACCAGCCGGCTTAAGTCCCGGGACCTATGGGTTAGTCATCAGTGTGACAATGATATGCGCCGGCACCATCGTCTACAATATTCTCATCATCATCGCATTTATTCGCGATTCCGCCGTGCGAAATCCTTTTTCGTACTACATCCTGAATGTCTCCATCACTGACCTGGCTTTGGCTCTGTTCAGCATGACCGGCTTCGTCTGGTTCACCTTATCACCCACATCCAACGCTAGTTATTGCCCGTACTACAACTTCTTTGATAACTTCTTCTCCACCAGTACCGCACATTCGGTGATGCTCATCAGTTTGGACCGGCTGTTTTCACTATACTTTCCCATTCGTTACCGGAATTTGCGATCCGTGAAGTTCACAGTGATCATGTGCGCTGGAACGTGGATTTATTTGCTCTGCTTATTGATGCCGTACAATCTGATAGATGCCCTACGGTACAACGAAATGACCTTACCGTGCTCCATCAACTTCAAAATGCAGCATACGTATTCATTAGTTGTCGAGTTTCTCGCGTATGATTTTCCGCCATGGTTCGTTTTGTTCAGCTATGTACTGGTCTTCTGGAAGTTACATGGACGAGCGAAGTTCAAACAGCAAGGTATGTGAATCAAAGAACTCCCAAATTAATTTGCTCACAATTTCTAGAGCTTCTTATTTGTTCAGGTTTCTCCAATAAAGTACACGGAAAAAAGAGTACCGTCATGCACAGCCACGCCCACACCAACGTCACGCATGTACATACTACCGTCGTTACCGGAACAGAACCCAGTGCAACAGCCAAAAAGAAATCCAAAGACCGTGATGAGAAGAAATTTTTTCGTCTCTTCGCACTGCTGGCGCTGTGCATTTTGGTCTGCATTTTTCCAGGAAATATTTATTTCCTGTTGGTGGATTTCGTGCCGTATTGGAACGATGACGTCAGCGCTGTTGTGGCTTGCTTGCAATATTTAAGTTGCATATTCAACCCGGTCATTTATCATTCCAGCCTCCCCACTTTACAGAAAGCGGTTAAAAACGTTATATTTTGCCGCTAAGCCGTTTGCTGTTTTAAAAATGGCTGCATCAAAAGGGCACATACCCTGTGTAGTTTTCTGTTCACAGAAGCATTTATTTGACGAAGGGTCTAACTGAAATTTGAACAGAGATGTCTGATTTGAATTTATTACTTACTATTATCGACCGCGTATGTCTGCATTCTGCTTGTGACGTGCTGTCACTTATATGTGAAATTTGTAGAGAAAAAAGCAGACGCAGCTAATGCATTTTTATCTTCAAAAGAGATGCTTGTTGAGACGTGTTGAGCGGCACTTTCATGGACACAATTATGCTAATCGGCAAACGGCATAAAGCATGGCTTGATTGACAGGCTGTTCAGACTAACATGCTCATGCTCATTGTCAGAGTACCGCTTCCGATGCGGCATACAGTTGTTAATATGAGCATAACTATTAACTAGGAATAATTAAAAGCGATGAAACGACGATCTACTTTACGCTACAGGTTTTCATGCCGCTATTTGATACAATAAATAGCACGTGATGCTTATAAAGTATATAGTATATACAGAACTACGTAGGATCATGGTGAAATTTGAAATTTGACGCATGCCCAATGATTTCAAATTCTATGTGACATCGTAACTCTCCAGAAAGCCACCAGTATTTTACATAGAATACTTCGCTCGACGTACGCTTTCCATTCATTCATTGTCAGTTTACTCATTTATATTCAATTTCCGCTATCAGCTCGATATGTTGAGCTGTTCTGGTACTGTACATTCCACCTGCAACGGAAAAGGTTCTTTCTCAGTGACTTCTCACTAGATGTAGCAAACTAATTATAAGCTGTTGGCTGGACTTTTATACGGTCCCGCTTTTTATCGATTTCCAATTCTTCTGACTTTTAAATCGATGAAGTTGTATAACTCCGATCCTAAACCAGTGTGGCAGCTTGTGGTACTATGTACTATGTACCGTGGTACCGTGTACTTACCGACACATCTGCACTGGTTAATAATGCGTACATTTGTTTTATCACTTGACAGTGCTGCAGGTCATACCCGTAACAGATGTTTGTGACATTATTGGTAATTTTAATCCCTCGAAATGGGACTTGCTCGCAAAACTACATCCTTGTTTTGGATTAAAAATGAACAAAATCTGGATTAAACCAGCATCTAATCTGGGGCTCCGGTATCTTTAATTGTGGCAACGGTTCACCTGTAGCTTGACCATGCAAATAAATGCACTTTGTGGAGAAGCGGTAAACCCTATTTTGTTGTGAATTTCTGTAATCCCAGTAACAAGTTTTTTTCTTCTTTTGAATTCGGGTGGCACGATCACTCTGATCATGAGTCTAATATTATGAGAATTAAGGGATTTGGCCCGGTACATAACACTAAATTCGTGTACATTGGCGGGAACTTTCGCTGTCGCGCACTCCCAAACTCTTTCTTGCATTGCTTTATGGTATTTTGTAGCCAAAAGAATTGTATACGTAGTTGTGAAATCCGTTTGCGCGCGCAACATCCGGTTGCGGAGTTATGAAGGCAACAAAATTCCAAAAAGTTAAAATGCATTCAGGTGTACCAAAAGTCCCATTATGGACCGATCCCTTTCAAATTTTGCACGTAAATGCACATCACCATGAAGATTGTTTTGGTAGACTTCTACAATTTTTTTCGAATTTTAAAATGAATTTCAAAAATTTTAAAATTCATTTTAAAATTTTAAAAAATTCTAGAAATTTGTTTCCGTACCAAAACAATCTTCATGGTTATGTGCATTTACAATACACATGGTTATGTGCATTTACACATGGTTCATGGTTATGTGCACAGATAATTACATTTACACATGGTTCATGGTTATGTGCACAGATAATTATATGAATACTAATTATCTGTGCCAGGATTTCGGCCCCTTTCATTCGGCGCCGGTGATCCCAGCTTCTGCTCCTCCAATTTTCCTACTTCAAAATGCGTTAGAAACCTCTCGATCAGGCGGGTGTTCTGAGACCAGTTATTGCTTGCTGTCTTCAGAACCTCATGACCCGTGGTCACTTCAAAGCTTGTTACTATGGATGCCATAAGGCTGACAAGAGCGGGTGCTCGCTCTAGGGAAACAGCTTATTTCTGTTGCAACATACTGCATGATTTGACTGCAACAAAATTCTAAAAATAGTCGCAAGCCAGTATTCATCCGTGTCAACTTGTTAGTATTCATATAACGAGGCTCCCACATCGCTGCGAAAACCTTGCGGTAAAAGTAACGTAACGTAAAGGTGATGAAAGTACATAACATTTTCGCAAACAAATTATTTGGTGACTATCCTCCCTAACAAGATCGGCGATTCAATGTCTATTAAATAAGCCGCAGTAGCTTAGACGCAGTAAACTATATTTTTATGCATTGTCTTGACAGCGGACTCATAGCGCGTTAAATTAGCCAAATGGCAACACATCCTTGTCTTGTATCCTGTTTTCCTTTAAAGCCCATTTTTAATTTATGCGGGATCACGCTAAGCTGGTTTACCGGCAAGCTTGTGGTCGAGGCATCCGCCTGACTGTTGACACAAATGTCCGCGATTCCACGTCACAGATAATTAAGGCAAATACGCTGTTTGCTATACATGACAATTCCCCACGGAGCCACCTATTGTCAGCCATGTCAGCGACTGCCTTAACGATCCGCTGATGCTCTCCTTTGAGAATCCAGGCGGTACAAGAAGCAGCCAAGAAAACCACAAAATGCGTCTCTTCGTTTTCCTTAATCTATAATTGCCGCGCGCTGCAGTGGGTATTCAGCTTTGTGCCACAATGTCAAACAATAGCTCAGTTTTTACTGTTTCTACGGGAATTCCAACCGCGCACTATATTATGGTGGCGCTTGTGGCTCTGATATGCGTGCAAAAGATCTGCTACAATATCCTGATCGTCCTGGCATTTATCAAGGATTCGCAAGTGCGCACACCGTTTTCTTACTACCTTCTCAATGTGTCCATGTGCGATTTGGGATTTGCGACATTCAGTATGACTAGCTTTATCGGCTACACCGTTAGACCTTCTTCCAGCACGGGAGCAAAGGCTTGCCGGTTTTTATGCTGGTCAGCGGTGTTTTCAATATCAACGCATGCTACACAATTCTCTTAATCAGCCTGGATCGGCTGTGGTCGCTGTTTTTTCCGTTGGGGTATCGCAATCTGCGCTCGAAGAAGTTGACCATTGGATTGTGTTTGTTGGTGTGGATTTACGTAATGTGTTTGCTGTGGCCATATGTGCTGCTAGATGTAATGTACTTACTACAATGACCTTACAACGTGCAATCCCAATGTAACGGCCCAGCATGCATACGCCCTGGTTATTGAGTTTGTGGCGTACGATATACCCCCAGTGATGATTATTGGGATCTATTTATTGATTTTTGTAAAGTTAACCGGACGGAATCGTGTTAAAGCGCTAATGAGAAAAGGTAGGACACACAAATCGACAAACCGTTCCGCAAGTTCTAGAGTTTCCCGTTCAAACACTAAATCAATTGCGTGCTGCTCTAACAGTCAGCAACCCATCTTCTCCGTACAATGCGATTAATTTGAACCGAATAAAATTTCCGGCATCTCCGCATACAATAAATTAATCTTTAATGTATAGAGTTAAAAATCAAATTAGGTACATACATGCATACATTTTATAAAATATTTGTGAAGCTGCAATATTTAACTTGTAGTAAAAGCATGGGCTTTTCTTTGTAGAAACTACCACAGCAGGATTATCCACGCACGCTGTCAGCGAATCCGTTAATAACCAAGCAGATCAGCGTTCTCGTGCCGCTTCCAGCGCACATGGCACAGATGGCAAGGGCGTCAAAGTCATTGCCCACCGCTCCTCGGAGAAAAAGCTCTTCAGGTTATTCGCTCTGCTGGCGTTGTGTATTTTTATATGCTGGATCCCAGGAGTGGTCTAATCTCATCGCGGATTTCACCGGTTATTGGAATGAGGATATCTACGTTGTAGTGGTCGTACTACAGTATGCCAGTTGTGTGTTTAACCATCATTCTACCTTGCCGGACTTGAAGAAGGCTATACGGAATGTTGTCAGATGTTCTTAATGTACAGTACCTTTGACTTTAATTAAACCAAGGGGATCGACAATTTATACTAATGCGTAGACAGTAGGGAGAGGAAACGTATATTTTGGATTATAAGAAAACATGGATGTTTCGTGTCGGCTTAATTAACACCATGCTACAGTGGGTATTAACCACAATATGAGTGCCTGCATTACCTTCTGCTATAATAACTAAAGGCTTCACGGAACTAATGGCAGACGGAACTCCTGGAGCCAAGTTTCAGGAAGTAATAGCGAACGCCACTAAATGCGTCGCTGTCCACTTTGCTCGGAATCTTTCGTGATGGCGGAAATTACAGGACCAGAATCCTGGCCCAACCAGCACCGAAAGCTGGCATTGGACTAAATACTCTGCCCTCAGCCCACATCGGCAAGCTCCTAGATGGCGATACCCTGAAGGTATCAGTCGGGCTCATGTTAGGTGCTGCAATTTGCGAAGCACATTTCTGCGCGAAATGTCACAAACCCGTATATGTATATGCCCACCACGGACCGTCATGCTCTTTCTCTGTCGGATGACATCCTCGTCACGGCGGGTTTAACACCATCGTGCGCCGATCACTGGGTTCAGCAGGCGCTCCGACAAAACTGGAACCGCGCGGTACTTCTAAGTTCTACGTCCGATCGCCACCCAGACGCATTTACTACCTTTGCCTGGAAACGTGGCATGTGCTTAGCATGGGACGTGATCAGTGTGGATACTGTCGCCTTGCCACACATCAAGTCCACTTCGGTTGCCGCTGGATCCGCAGCTGCACAGACGGAAGACTTCTAGACAACCAGGTTTAATGCGTATCTGAAGGGCAGATACATCTTTCTGCGCCACGGAAACTCTACACCATGGAAAGTTGGCATCAAATTTAGTGAAGGAAATCGGTAAGCGGTTACAGAAATGGGTAAGCAGCATA